GGTGTTATGTTGTGGGAGGATTGGGGGTAGTGGCGGCGACAGTGGCGAAGTCGTGGCGGCGGGCGACAGCTGCAACGCTCACGCCTCCGCCTGGCGCCAATACCCCCGAGTGTAAATATAGGTACCGTCTACACCACCACCACCACTATTACTATTACCACTACTATTGCCATTACCATTACTCCTGCCACTACCACCACTATTACCACTATTATTATCACTATCACTCCTACTGTCACTACCACCACTGTTACTATTACCAGTATTACTGCCAATTCCACCCCTATTACTATTACCTCTTCTACTGCTACCACCACCACTATTACTATTGTCACTACTAATGCCACCATCATTACGAGTTTCACCGCTACTACTGCCACCATGTTCCACCGCTACTACTGCCACCATCACTACTATTACTATTACCACTATCACTACTACTGCTTCCATCACCACTTTTATTACCAACACCACCACTATTACCGCTGCTACTACTACTACTACTACTACTACTACTACTACTACTACTACTACTACTACTACTGCCCCTATTGTCACCTCTACTACTACTATTGCCACTTGTATTGCAACTACCACAACAACTACTACTACCATCACCACCACCATTAACACTGTTACCATTACCACTACCAAAACAATCACTATAATACTACCACCACTGTTATCACTTGTAATACCACAACCACCGCTGCTTTCACAACCATTACTACTATACAACCAGCACAAGGGTCATTATTATAACCATCAATTACAACCTATGCTATTAATGCAACTACCAGTACCCCTACCACCATTACTAGTACAACCCATAACACCATTACCATCACCAGTACATTAAATATTTTCATCATTACCATCACCATCACTTCCACCAATAGCAGAATCAACACCACCACTTCTACCAATAGCAGAATCAACACCATCACTTCCACCAATAGCAGAATCAACACTATCACCACCTCCACCACCAACAGAATCACCATCACTTCCACCAATAGCAGAATCAACACCATCACTTCTACCAATAGCGGAATCAACACCATCACTTCCACCAATAGCAGAATCAACACCATCACTTCTACCAATAGCAGAATCATCACCATCACTTCCACCAATAGCAGAATCAACACCATCACTTCCACCAATAGCAGAATCATCACCATCACTTCTACCAATAGCAGAATCAACACCATCACTTCTACCAATAGAGGAATCAGCACCATCACCACCTCCGCCACCAACAGAATCATCACCATCACTTCCACCAATAGCAGAATCAACATCAACATTTCCCACCAATAGCAGAATCAACACCATCACTTCCACCAATAGCAGAATCAACACCATCACTTCCACCAATAGCAGAATCAATACCATCACTTCCACCAATAGCAGAATCAACATCATCACTTCCACCAATAGCAGAATCAACATCAACACCATCACTTCCACCAATAGCAGAATCAACATCATCACTTCCACCAATAGCGGAATCAACATCAACATTTCCCACCAATAGCAGAATCAACATCATCACTATGTACGGAGATCCCTGCCAACAACAACAGGATTTCTATAGGCACTACAGTACTACCAACACCTCCATGATAAACACAATTAGATACTCAGTAAAGCCAGATTAAAATCTCGCTGTGCATTACTAATCTAGAGCCGAGACCTTGAGGTCTAACCCAACTCCACCATATAATTGAGTGTCTGAATATTCGTATGTTTATCTGTGTCAGTAGGTCAATACCAAGGAAAAGTTAATGTTGAAACTGTAGCCAAGTCCATTATGTGATGTTTTATTCTTTTTTGGCATTTGATTATAGGATTTTAAGTGGAGGGGTCTGTACAATCTGATGTTCTTCCTTCAGTTGCATATGTCTTGAAATTCATGATTACATCTACCTTAACTGTATTAGACCACCTTCCACCTTCAGTTCATCATTTGCAATTTTTCAGTCTCTTGTACATCACTGTTTTATTGAATATTCAAATCAGTTTCTAAACATTAGTATGATTAATGGGTTTTTCTTTGATACTTTCTTCAGTGTTATTACAATTAACTTTCAGCATCCGACAATTGTTGTATTGAAAGAATGGGGTAAAGAACATGCAGCTTCCCCCTTACACTCAGCATCACCTATTAACTCAAGAAACTAGAGTTAATGTGAAAGATGAAATTTGGCAACTACAGCGAGGGAAGGGGAGGGAGGAATGATTCATATCATAACCAGTCAGTAGCACTGCAGTTAAGGCGTCAGTTTCTTGTTATTACGAGTATTATGGATCGTTTTGTGACGAGGAGGGAGAAGGAGTCTGTGGCCAGCAGCAGTGATCCTGCCGCTGCCGACCAGGACATGGACAAGGAAGTTGAAGTGACTGAGACTGTTGACAGTCCACTGAGACTGAGGCCAGTAGCAGTGAGGCATTTTTTTGTAATTTTGTAATAAAATATTGATAATATTAACTTTTTTGTATCAATTATATTTTGTTTTACTTGTAAATAGGCAATTGTTTTTATTTTAGTATTTGTTTATTTATTTTGTTTTTAAGTTGTGGTTGCGCTTGCGACGAAACTTTTTGAAAATGGTTGCAGTTGCGTCGCAACTATTTCAGCAGAGTTACGGTTGCGGTGCAAATAAAAAAGTTGCGCGTGCCCACCTTTCGATATACTGCATTTTGATATTTCTACCTCAATTGATGAGGTTTTCCAAGTAGTTTCGGGTACTAGTGTTGGCCATGGATTTCCAGCAGAAAACACCCTGACTGTCATTGATATATTTTCGCTACATTAATATCATTATATTATTCTACTAAAGATGGAGCATGGTGATTCACCATAATTACAACAAATGACAGAAATAATAACTGGCAACCTAACAGATACTAAGAAGGCAGGCTTACCAACATAATACAAGAATAACAATTAGTGATCGGAAATATTCGTCAATTGTGACACATTGTATCAATGAGAAAAGGGACCGATACTTTTTTGGGAAAGTGTACCTCAAAAATAATTTGGCAAAATTTTTTTTGTTTCTGAATTCAGTTTATGAAAAGGACAAAGGCCAATACATACACACTTGTCTTATCCCAAACTTAAGAATTTTGTACAGTATTTACCTAGTACAGTAGAACGTTGATTTAAAGCGATTCAATTTAAGATTATTGATTTAAAGCGACACACACAATTAAGGACAATGTTTAAATTTAAAGCGAATTTTCCTATTTTGTGTGAGTCAATCTGATGCATCATATTTTAAAATTCGCGCCTAATGTTTCTCTGGACACGCTACACTGTCCTAAGGGCAAAGCTGTACTGTACATGTACTCAAAATAATATACTAAATGATTACTAAAATTTTTGACTAGTGTAAGCTACAGCATGATTATATTCAAATTAATCACTATCTTATAAGAATTCCAGCAATGTAAATTATATTCTCCCCGATCACTTCTGTGACATTTTATAAGCAAAAAATAAAAACTCAGCTAAAGGACATAAATAAACAAATAAATACTTCACTAGACCTTTGGCACAACTGTCAAATGTGTCACTGTCACCTCCCTCCATCTTCCCAGCCAGGGTTGGGTGGTTATAGGCTTACAGTTTTTATCTTATATAATATCACAGACTAAAGTTAGAATATAATTTGCATTGCTAAAATCCTTGTAAGACAGCAAATAATTTGAATATAAACGTCATATATTTTGCACAAGAGATAAAAATTTTAGTCCTTTGTAATAAAATTAATTAGAACATGTCAGTTCAGTGACATTTTAGAAGAGAAAAACTTAAAGTCACTCTTAAGGACAGATAAAAAATAAGCACTAGACCTTGGCATCAACTGTCAAACATATCATATCATATCACATCACATCACATCACATCACCACACCCCCCCACCCATCAACCCATCAGCTGATCGCTAGTAGACAGACCATTTCACGTCCCATAATTTTAGCTGTGTTGATTTATGACTGTTTGTTTTAACATACTAGAAAAAACAATGTTTTGTTTATTCTAGGAGATGGGCTGAGGTGCATTTGGGTAGACTCAGCCTTTTTAGTATTTTGTGTTTCTCTCAAGTACCTAACTAAATTATTCCATTGAAACACTTTGATTTAGTGCGAATTCTGTTTAAAGTGACCTCTCTTGGAACATATCTCGTGTTATTTCGACGTTCTACTGCACAGTGAATTTATGCTTCTTGTGAACTTTGAAAGGAGAAAGAAATCCAGAAAATCAATTTAATATTCAGACCACCTACATAGGATTTTTTGGCAAAGCTTACTTTCTTTTATTGGTAAAAGAATATAAGCCACCAATCCACATAGGTGGCTATTTCCTTATTTTGTAAGTGTCATACACCTCAGAAATTAATTTTATTTCACCATTTTCTCATTTTAGGCAAACTTTGAAGACAATTAGAAAATAACTTTATACACTGACAATAAATTTTTGGTGACCATTGTCAAAACATATTCTTGTACAGTACAATAGACTTGATTAACCACATTTCAAATACCCAAAAATAAGAATTATTCACAATGTTAGCCATCCTACCACCAACTGTAATTTAAATAGGGGTGGTCAAAAGATTTTGCAATTCAGGGTAAAGCAAAAATACATTCCTAAACATGTTTCATCGAGTTAAAAAATCTCAATAATCATGAATGACATTAGTCAAGACCTGATGAGAGAGGCTGCAAGAGACCACACAGCATGGAGAGCTGCCATCAGGTAATCAAAGCGAATCTACTAACATGGAAAATGGCTGTAAAACATTGATGATAATGAATGGTTTAGAGATGTCTAACTGATTTCAGTTAGGACTGGTAGTTCAGCTCAGTAAATTCAAGTCAGTCTCAAGGACTTACTATACAGTACTGTACACCAAACTTTCCATGATTTTCATATGCAACTAATTCAATTTTTTCATAAACCCAAAGGGAAAAAAGTAAGGACAAAATTGTAAAAAAAATTATTAATCTACAGTATAGTACATCATTTTGTTTATAATTTATGCATTTTTTAAATGAATAACAACAATAGAATTTTTCCCTGCTTTCTCTTTAAACCATCTTCCTAATTTATGCTCTTGTCCTACTCCAACAACAAGGTGGTTCCCACTTGCTGTGAATGCCATGGAGTTGATCACTCCTGGAACAGGGATGGCAAATAATGGCTTCAGTGTACGATGTCCCTCTGTCTCAACTCTCCAAAGGCGCACAAACCCATCCATTGATCCTGTAAGTAATAAAAAAATCAATACTGTAATACATCTGTCTAGGTTCCAGCCATCCTGTATTATAGCAGAAAAAGGTCCTTGATCAAGGTAGAAAAAATTTACTGTATACAGGACAGTACTTTTAAATCTCCCCAAAGATACATATTCCCAACTTTTGGTCTGCTCTCTGACAAGTAAATCCCAAATACAGATTCTGTCCTGGATTATATCCTTATCCCAATCCTTCACAAACCTTTTAAACTTTATTGTCCAACCTTAACTTTCCTAAGCTCTTGAAAAATTACCCAAAAGTGTGACCTCTTTCTCTCATACCTGTATCATTAACACAATGCCCTCTACTTTACTAATTCCCAAGTTGTCTGAACTATCTTAAACAAACACATCTCCCCTAGCAGAAAAAAATTAATATCAGACACAGAAGGTTTACATCCAGGCAGCTTTACAACTGGAGATCTTTTCTTCCTTACATCTTTGACTCTGCTTTTTTTGGTTCTTGGAACTGTAACTCCATTTTCATTGCCTGGTAAGACTTCTAGTTGCATGTATAAATTAATTTGGGGGGATAAGAATAGTAGATCAAAAGACATAAATATATTAATATGGTTCATTACCTATACACACACAACAATTAACAAAATATAAAAAAAAAATTATGGGAGAACAATAATTTCTTTTATTTATGAACATAGAAGAATGCACACACCTGATGCAACAAGGTCAGAATTAACAAAAGCAGCAACTGCGGTAATCCAGTTTGGTAGACCATTGATCTGATAGCCATGAGCTGCTTTTACAAGACTGTGAGGGCGCTTCTTTAGGGTCGTCCATAAGGCTAGAGATCTGTTGGAACAAAATAGATAAGTAATATCTCCATTAGCCGCCAATTCTCCTGTGACCACCTTTATTCTCGTGTGCTCTTAAACGATAAGTAGTGAATCCTGTATGTGCAAACAAGGAAAATAAATGCTGGAGGATCTCATCTGGCGTCTGTAATACCGTAATTATTGAATTGATTGTCTTTTGCTTTCAATTTAATAGGCTTTACTTTCCTGTTTTTAAAGTTTGCATTTGCACAATTTTTTTCCATTGATTCCAGAAACTCTTCGATATATACAAGATGATATTCATATGGTTTGATTCAAATCCCATAATATGGGTCTGAATACCCTTTGATTTTATTTAGAGTATCACTGAATTTTAAGTCAACTGTTTGTTCCTATTCTTATTGTTCTTCCTCAAGGAGAAACTAATCACCCTGTCGTTCAAATGCGTAATTATGATGATGTGTTCAGGCTGTTCAGTATCGCATCGCAATTTATCTGTGCTTGTGAAGGATCAAGACAGTCTTCAAGAGTTTGTCTGCGAACATGGACTAGTGGGAAGGACATGCAAGTGTCCAAATTGCGGAAGAAAGCTGACAATCAACCAGAATTATTTGTTTCAATGTATCAAATGGTCACACTCTTTTGTGCACAGAAGATGTAAAGTTACACTATGTTGTGGTACTCATACACAATCTAGAGAAAGACAGTGACTAGATTTTAGAGCATGTATCCCACGTTTTTGTTGCCGACTACTTAGCTGAATCCAACGCTTTGTTCAAGAGACAGATTCCACTACTTTCTCGAGGTCATCGCTGCACTATATCCACCTTTATATGGCAGGTGTCATTTAGGTTAAGTCAGGTTCTGTGCATTGTCATTTCTATTTTCTTATTTCCTATTGTACCATGCAATTAACATCTCCAGAATCCTTGGTAAATTTCCATAAGTTCCTTCTGGTGATAAACGTCACCTCCACTTTAACCTATTTTTCGTACACCATAAAAATTATAACTTAATTCTACTTAGATAGCCTTAGCATCTTCCTTTTTTTATCTACTCCCCTTAGATTCAAATTGTTTACAAATCCCTCGACTTCAATCCTAAATAGCTTTTCTCAAACAAATCTTAACTAAGGGGTATTCAAAAGAGTTCCAATTCAGGGGTTAAGTGGTTCTGTACAGCAGCTTCTTTTAGGGGGAAACATGAAGTTGCCTGCTTGAGTATTTGTTTCATATTTAGCTCCTGTAATAGAAATACAGTAATTATTTCATTGAGATTTTAAAATATGAAGTATGAGATAATTATAAGTTTTGTCAAAATTTTGTAAAAAACCAACAACAAAAACAAGGTTCCATAGCAAAGGAAATTCCTCAACACATGGTGGGAGCGTGACAATAACAAAGTGAGCCAAAGATTTCACTTGTGGGTGTAAAAATCCTGAAGATGATCCCCAGTCTTTCAGTTGCCACCAACTTTAGCCCAAAACAAATGCTTAATACAGCATTGAAACAAACACACAGACTGGAATTTCACATGGAAGTGTTGTGACCACCATCCACGAACATTTAGGATGTCTTAAGTTCCTATAAGATGGGTTCCCCAAAACCCCAGCACTTAGAATCAACAATACAGGATGTTTTCAAGTTGAAAATGCCTTGAACTGTACAAAGATGATCCAACCAACTTTTTTTCTAGTCTGGTGAAGTGAAATGAGGTCTGGATTCATCACTGAGACCCAAAGTCAAAGATAGAGTCCATGCATTGGAAGCATCTGAATTCTCCCATCTCCAGTAAGTTCAGAACTCAACCTTCTACATGGTTAAATGTGATAAACTAGCATGTAATTTGTCTATACATAAGTGCTTGTTTTTTACTTACCCATCTTGGGCAAAGGTTACAAATGTTTTATCATTAACAAGTTTGATGCCATCAATGGAAGCCTGGTGGCCAGAAAACCGCAACTGCTTATCTTCAACGAGAACATACACAATTACTGATTGATCACGTCCTCCACTGGTGATACAGGATTCTCTCACAAGTGCATCTATTCCTGTTATTGCATCCTGATGACCACCTCTGAAAATATTAAAAAATTTCATAATTCCTAAAATAACTTCCTGAAGTTCTTCAGAATGGGAAAGTCCCTCTCCAATTTTGGACTGGTTTATCCCATAATGAGGACAATCTTGAAAATCATGCACTGCTGGGACTGAGAAACAGACAGTTTTGTAAAATTTTTGTTTTCTAACTAAGTTTACTCTCCTTAAAATCAAGAACCATTTCTATGTTGAAAGTCTTTTGTTATATTACCTTTTACTTTAGTGGTACACAGCTATTAACACTCCTGGGTTTGGGTAGGCACTCTCCTGTAAGATGCTCGGGGTCTGGCCTGTTACTCACCTCACCGCACTTGGTTGCACCACACAAGATTTAATTGTACGTAGTGAATCATAGCAAGCTTGCTATTTGAGATACAAAGGTGGGATTTATTGCATTAGGACTGTAAATAAATTATCTAAATACACTTTTATACGAGTACAGTAATCATGATAGAATAATTATTTCTATATGTAAGCACAAGTTGAACACAATTTTTTTTTAAGCTTAATGAGAATGTTTATACAGTATAGTAAACCCACGATAACTCGGCATTTGACAACTCAGAATTTCATATAACACAGCATGGATATGATCTTGGACTGTACAGGTACTGTATTAGTATAACTTTGGAAAATCTAGGCATATCTGGCCACCTGTGTCACCTACCATGCCTGTCACCTACCATGCCTGTGTCACCTACCATGCCTATGTCACTTACCATGCCCGTGTCACCTACCATGCCTGTGTCACCTACCATGCCTCTGTGTCACCTACCATACCTCTGTGTCAAAATAGTTCACCAGAATTTTCTAAGCTCCAACCTTCTTGTTGTAATTCCATAGTCTTCCTCTTCATCCTCCATGGCACTTTTTACTAAATCTTCCAAATTCTCTTCTATCAGTTCCTCTCCATGCCTATCAATCAGCTCTTCCACGTCTTCAGCAACCATGTCCACAAACCCCTCACCACCCAACTGATGTGCAACACTCACAACGTCATTCACATCCTTTAATATGGACAGGAACCCTTGAAAGTTATTCACACACTCAGGCCATAAGGTGTGCCAACAAGCACTCATTGTCTCTGGTTTGAGTTCATTGAATGTTTCACTGATGTTGGTAATACAGTCTGCAGTGCTGTATTCCTTCCAACACTTGCTAACATCAAGGTCAGGTTCTGCATCCATGGCATTAGGATACGACCAAAGGAGCGCCGGGTGTAATTTGCCTTGAAGGTGTGTATTACACCCTGATCGGAGGTTGAATAAGAGCAGTGGCGTTAAGGGGTAGGAACACCACCTCTTCACCTGGATGGCTAAACAGTAAACTTTCTGGGTGGCCTGGTGCATTGTCTATCAGTAATAACACCTTCAATTCCATATTCTTGGAAGCAGGATGTTTTCCACTTCTGGGACGAAGCATTTATGGAACCAATCCAGGAATGCTTGCAGTTACCCATGCTTTTTTGTTAAGACTGCCAAAAAACTGGCAAAAGGTTCTTGTTTTTCCCTTTAAAGCCCTAGGGTTTGCTGAGCAGTAAAAGAAGCCAGGCTTGATCATGTGGCCAGCCGCATTGCCACGGTGAAGGTGAGTGTCACTGTCCTTGGCTGCCTTGAACCCAGAGGCACGCCTCACCTGCTTGTTTATGAACACTTTACCAGGCATTTTCTATTATAAACCAGATTCATCAGCATTAAACACTTGCTCTGGTTTATAGGCTTTCTCTTCTATTATTTTCTTTAATTTGGCAGGAAATGCACCTGCGGCTGTGGTCAGCTGATGCGGCCTCCCCAGTCAGCTTCACATTATGGAGCAAGAATCTTTTTTTTTTTAATTCTCGAACCAACCTTTACTGGCACTAAAAGTTGGTTCAGTTGTCACACTAGCCCCTTCACCACCTGTTGACTCGTAAAAATGAGCATAAAGACTTTTAGCCTTTTCACGAATTACGTTGCTGTCGATCGGAACAATTTTGCGGTGCTGGTCCTCAACCCAAATGATCAGTGCTTTCTCAGTTTTCACTATGTTCCTGTCACAAACAACCTGCGCCACTTTAACATTTGAAGGAGCACTAGCTTGAATAGTATCATGAATTGCTTGTTCATTTTTCTTGATATACTGCACTGTGGATTCGTTCACATCAAACAACCGACCAACTGCGGCAGCACTCATCCCCTTCTTTAACTTGTCTAATAATTCAACTTTCTTTGCCAGGGTCATCACTGACTTTTGCCTTTTATGTTTCACTCCACTAGCATCACTAGGCAGTCTTTTAGGAGCCATTTTCATAAAGAAACGCTAAAGTTTTTAGAGTATGACACGGGATGCTAGGTCACGGGTGCTGGGTGTGGGCAAACAGAGGGAGATGAGACGCCGAGAGCGTGTGCAGTGACTCGTTGCACTGCGGGAAAAGGCTCGCATGCTAGCCACACCGAGCCACCAGCTGCTTACTGCAAATTGTCGTATTCGCGAATCGCAAACCCAAGAATGGAAAGGGTCTACTGTACAGTACAGAAATAACAATTCCTGCATGGGAATTTTCTGATAAAAACTATCTAAGCACTATTAGCTGTGCACCACTAAACTGAATGTATATCACTCATGAAACACATTGCTTAGGTTGATGCCTTACTGAGAAGTAGCCTAAACCATGAGTCCAAAATGCTGCTCACTGTACTGCACCTGTAATTAACTTGGTAATTTCATAATTTATGAAGTTCTAAAATACACTAAAAAGAATTTTAAATCCTCACACTGTGATTCTATTTCCTAATCATGTATGAAAAAAAATTATGTTCCTACTCATCACCAAACCCTTTCTGGATATCTGAATCTTCCAGGCTTAAAGTACTCTTTTCAAACAAATTGTTTTGATACAAAAGCCAATCACAAAATGTTCTTGTCTGCATCCCCAGTTTAAGAGATTCTGTGAGAAATATATATACAGTACTTTCATTACATGAGGTGGGTCATCAATTGTAAAAAATCTACAAATTGGTAAAAGGAAAAAAATTAACTCACAAATTTTCAACAAATGCCATGGCATCCAGATTCCATACCATCACCATTCGATCATGAGAGGCAGAGAAAAGGGTATGAGTGGAAAGACGAAAAGCCAAACCAGAGATGGCTCCACGATGTTTCTTAAATTTTTTGAGATGGTCAAGTGTTTCTGCATTCCAGATGTGTATGTAGCCCCCCTTGTCACCTGATGCCTGAAATATAAATAATGGAGAACATTAACTTTTCAAATCGAAGGACTATGTTGGAAAATTCTTCTTCAAACACAAAGGTTGCAGACAAATCTACTTAAAAACATTATTTTTAGAAATATATTATACCAATGCTTGAAGGACATTGTGAAAAATGTTAGTTCACCATGTGCTAGACTACCAAATAATAAATTGTAAAAAAAGGGGTGCTAGGGGTGGACGGATTCCTGGCTAATTTCATTACATTTTGGATGATGGTGCACCAGTGGGCAACTGAGAATAAGTGTTTTACTAAGATAGCCAATCGAACATACACACATTTTTTAGGGATTGTTCTATGTACTGTACAGTATAGTATATTACTGATGATCTTGACATGATCAAGTGAAAACATATGAGTAACCCCAGAAGTTAGAGAATTTAATGAACTTACCAAAAATTTCCCATCTGAGGAAACTGCCAGAGAAAATATGTGAGATGTGTGACCAACGTGAACCTTTTCTGTGCCTTTACGCCCACCAGGTATACTCCCCACTCTTTTCCCATCAAGTGTGACTGGAAAAAAGTATATATATTATATATATATATATATATATATATATATATATATATATATATATATATATATATATATATATATATATATATATATATATATATATATATATATATATATATATATATATATATATATATATATATATATATATATATATATATATATATATATATATATTAGACAGGTTTAGAATACATTTTTATTGTTTTAATATGCACACTAAACCACAGGATGTAGAGGTTCGGATTTTATACCCGGCATTTAAGACGACCCCTAATTTTGGGCTGATTTTTTAAGATTAAAATTCCGTCTTATACGACGACATATACGGTAATTTAAGAATGGAAAGATGATAGATGGCAAAGCTAGAGAGAACATGAGTGAATTAAATACAAAAGTTAGTGGTGGAAATTAGAAAATAATCTAACTTTCATCACTTGATCCTGTAATACAGTGTGTGACAGGTAATCAGCTTCCTTAAATGGAAAGGTAAGACTGCAATAGGACCATGTAAATCTTGAAAGGCAGGTTTAGACAGGGTAGCCTAGAATTATATCTTATGTGACCACCTTCACTCAGGGAAAGTTCCTTGAGAACAAGGTGTCATTGACATATACAGACTTACAGTAGATATATTAGTTTTTTCAAATGACATTCAATGCACATATGGGGAAAAAAAATAGTCATGGGCAGGGAAAATTCACTTACATTTTACAATAGAACAATCTTTGGAGCCTGAAAATATATATTTTTCATCACTAGTAACAGTCACACAGGTGATAGGTAGTTTCTGTTGTTTAGACTTAAGAACACAGAAATCCTGCAACTCAGGTTTAATGTACAGATTTGCAACAGTTTTTCGCAGTTTTCCAGATGCCTTAAGTAAATCTTCCCGAAGTTGAATGCCAATGGCTTCATCATCCAATACCTTATCTTCTTCATCTTGTGCCTCTGTTGAATGAAACAGGAATGTATTATTAAAGTATGTACAATATAAAAAAAAAATTAATCATATTTCCTTTCAGTACCAGAGCTAAAAACATGGAGTTCCCATTCCTTACTAATCTCTTTACCAAAAAGACTGCAGACTTACTCTGGTCTTGCAGCTCCTTAAGATACTGGCGAGCCAACCTCACTTTCTTCTCTTGTGGTGTCTCTTCATCCTCTTCATCTTCCTTTTCCTCCCCCTGCACCTGCCTTCCTTTTATATACTGCTCATCTTCATCACTTGTTATCTCCTCATCCAGATCTGGAGTATATTTAGCTTTCTTGGCTGTGGCAGTAACACTGGATAATCTTTCCTTCTTGAGTGGTTTCTGGAAAAAAAAACACACTTGTAGCTTTCAATTTTTTTAGAAACAAGAATACCTATGGTAGATTACCTGGCTTCTCTAAATCTGTTTTCACACAGGAAATCTGAGACTGATAAAATTTAAATCAATAATTTGGAAACTAGTACAGGTTGGACCCCGCTATTCCGGCACCCGATGCAGTAGTCCAGTAGCTTCAATGGTTCGGGACGGTGTTTGAATCTGGCTGTCGTTAGTTTCCAGCTATCATTAGGCCTATAAGATACAATTTTCTCTTTGGCTTTTCTGCTGTTCTACTTATTTCAGTGTCACAGTATAGTAAACTTGTGCTAATCTGAAACAGGTCTGATCCCAAGCTTTCCAGATTAGCAGGGTCCAACCTGTAATACTGTACAGTAATAATCCTAATACAATGTAGAGTAACATCTCACTAACTAGAACTAATGTATTGTATGTGAGGGTCCAATGAGCCAATAATTCAAATAATGGAGTATAATTCACATACAGCTTCCAGGAGTCAAATCAAGTACTGTACTGCTTCAACTGAGTACCAGCGGCATATTAAAACGAAGTACAGTGGTCCCTCGGTTAACGAAATTTCGGTTAACGAATTAGTACCTTCCATAAGAATCTTCAATTCGGTTAACGAACAAAAATTCGATTAACGAAATCCTTACGAAAATCACGTTTTGTTGTGGGCATCAGCTGGTCAGCTGATGGCCCAGTCTGCCAATTCAGTAATCTGTTCTAAGTTTAAATTCGTTTCCAATGGATTAAATATCAATAAATTTCAGCTTTTTAATATTTTTTAATGTTTTATATTATAATTATTAGTCATTTTAACATTTAATTAACATATTCATAATATATGCAGTACAGGGAATGAGTTTGTTGTGCGCTCATCAGATGCGTGAGTCGGCTACAAGGCGTCATTTGGGCTTTGAAAACAGATGGTGTTATGAGGAACCTCACGTGGTGTAGTAATTACCTCACAGATGGTGTTATGAGGGACCTCACGTGGTGTAGTAATTACCTCACAGATGGTGTTATGAGGGGACTCACGTGGTGTAGTAACTCCCTCACAGATGGTGTTATGAGGGGCATCACGTGGTGTAGTAATTCCCAAACAGATGGTGTTATGAGGGGCCTGACGTGGTGTAGTAATTCCCTCACAGATGGTGTTATGAGGGACCTCACATGGTGTAGTAATTCCCTCACATATGGTGTTATGAGGGACATGTGGTGTAGTAATTCCCTCACAGATGGTGTTATGAGGGGCATCACGTGGTGTAGTAATTCCCTCACAGATGGTGTTATGAGGGACCTCACATGGTGTAGTAATTCCCTCACAGATGGTGTGATGAGGGACTTGACGTGGTGTAGTAATTCCCTCACATATGGTGTTATGAGGGACATGTGGTGTAGTAATTCCCTTACAGATGGTGTTATATGAGTGAGGTTTGGTCTTAGGCCTTCCTATCGTAGACAGATTAACACATCGCTGGTTGTTGTTGGGTCTCACGGGCCGTTATCACTGGGTACCTGGGACCTCACTGTGTGAAGGTTAACTTGGGTACGACTGTTACTGTCGAGTTGTTCTCACTGACTTAAGCACTATTCACCACTGTTCACCTCTGTTTAACACTACATTACTGTATTTTATTTGCCTGATGATGTATTTTTTTTTACTTTCATTAACTGTATTTTGTCATTCTATTTCTTTTATCTTACATTAAGTGATTTTAGATGTATTTAAGGACTTAGGCTAGGATATAGTAGGATTTTAAGCATTGTTCTGTAAGTACTGTACTACAGTATTGGGATACACATGGCATGTGTTTCGACTTAAGAACACTCCGAGGAACGTAACTCTTTCATAACCCGGGGACTGCCTGTATTTAATGAAAAAGTAAAGGTGGAGCAGACAGCTAACACCAGAAGGCGTTGTTTGATTTCGTTCAGTTTTCTGGTGTTAGCCATCTGCTCCACCACTGAATTATCAATGAAAATTGGGTATCGGTATTATTTTAGTTTTGGTCACCCGGGGAATCTTAGGAATTAGTTTAGGGTAAAGATCCAAACTGGATACGAGTTATCTCGTAATTGGGTACGAGTTGTCCATCACCCCTTCACACCGAATGAACCCTCGGTATTCACTCATTCACACTCTTTGTATTTCAGTGAACCAAATGAGACATAAAACATCTCAAACTCATTCCTGAACCTCTAGTCAGCTACTTGTCTGAAGTGTGCAAGGTGGGCCGAGATAGAAATGGTTGAACAGAGTTGGTTATTTAAGATGGGCCTAGTTGGAAATGAGGTACAGCGGTAAGGCACATAACTCTCACCAATATGTCAAGGGTTTGAACCTCAGCCCAAACTCACGTGAGACTCTACCAAACATCACAGGTTTCCCGGTCCCCACCTGTACTAACCCTGGATAGACCGCCCAAACGGCTAGTAAGCTGATAAGTGGCGAATATGATATATAAAAAAAAAAAAAAATAAGGAAAGTTAATAAGACGAAGTGCCTTTGATTCCACCCTATCTATCAGTTGGACAGAAGAAGGGACACCCCCAAATGCCTTTATCTTTGTACTGTAGATATATTTAAAGCATTATTATCTTACCTTTCGCTTATTATCCCCAGGTCGTTTCCCTCGAAGGAAGAAAGGCATTTTTAACAAGTGACCTGGACGGTTGGACCCACACAGTGTTAGAAGTTTGTTTACCTGCAGCACCACACGAGTCACCAGCGTGTTGTGGTACATCAGCAGTAAATACTTTTAGCTCCAGTGCTTAGCTTTCAGTCTAATAATTCCATAAATAAATCAATGAATTGTTAACAATAAAAAATTATGAGATATAACTTTTATTCTACTTGATGCTGTTTTTGTGAATTCAAAGTGTAGGCCTAATCGCTATAAAAATTTCATTGCACTCTTTTTTATAAGAATTTATAATATATTATAAATAAGAATAATATAAATATCATCGTAGTATCTTTTGTGGGTGTACGTGTAGATTAATAGTGATTTTATTGTGGAGAAAGTCTAATCGCTATAAGAATTGGTGATAATATATAATAATAATAATAATAATAATAATAATAATAATAATAATAATAATAATAATAATAATAATAATAATAATAGAAATATCATCAAATATAGTCGATAATGGGTAGTACAGCCTTTCCTTACGCCTGCCATGGGGTTGTCTTAAGCACAGGGGTAGGACCATGGGTTTAGGGTAAGGGTGACATCTAAATCAGGCAGCGAGGGACTCAACCATATTTGTATACTAAACCACAATAGAAGACAGACTGTAAAGAATATTGTAACGAAACAACAAGGCAATTTCATTTTGCAAACATTATAATTACACAGTACATAATTACTTCTCATTCCTGGACGATAAACTGATAACGATTTTCCGAGCCGATAGCTATAATTCTATAATCCGTTTCACAACGTAATAACTACATTTACTTGACTTATAGCACATATTCACTTAAAGCTATTATATATATATATATATATATATATATATATATATATATATATATATATATATATATATATATATATATATATTATATATATATATATATATATATATATATATATATTTATTTATTCTTTTTTAATAAATTGAGGTTGACTTATGATTATCAACTAAAGATAAAAAAAATTATAAATTGATCCCAACTTAAAATTGCGCTCTGTCTCAAGATGGGTATGAGCCTAACTTAAAATTAATTGTGTTGTAAAAGTATTTTGCTTTGACTAAATCTATAATACACCCAGAGCTTCTAAATGTTACTAAACTTTTCTATAATCAAAAGACTCAAATAAAACTGACTTTTAAGAATTTTTTTTAATAAAATTCAGAATCTGTGAAGGATGCAGAGCCCATATTAGGGAATAGGTACACAGGAAAATCCCTTGTAAAAAAGTAGTTTATCTGTACTTAAAGAACATAAAAATTGCAACAAAGGTAAAAGCAAAATGATCATTATGTGTGTCAATTTTTTTCTCACTTATCTCACGAATCATATTACCAAAATATAACTAATCTTAATCATATTGAATTTAATTGAGTAACTAGCTGTTAGATAGGTTTTATGAAGTAAATATGGTTAAGTATTTTCAGTAGAATTTGCCAATTAAGCTTTAATTAAGAGAATATAGTATGGTATCCTAGAATGGTCATATTCCAACCTAGGCAGTGAGGGACAGAGTAGAGTCAAGACTAGTCAATGAGAGTAAACACAGGAAGTGGTGCTGATTAGCCAATGAGTCACTGAGAGGGGACCAACAGTGTTAGGTGTAATATATAACTTATTATAACGTAAGTATTGTTTCTAGTATAATGTTAATAATGGGAAATAACAGATATATGTATTTAACATTCCCCTGGCATCCTACAAGGTTAACCTCCCGCGGAGTTTGTGTGTTTGTATGTTAATAAATGTTAAGTGCCAGTGTATAGAACATCAACTGTGATAATCGTCATGTTAATTTAGCTACTCTTATGGTGTAGTTATACTTGTGATGTCTATGATTAAGGTTTATCAGAAATTTAAAGGATAGTTAAATTTCATTTGCAATACATGAATACTAACTAGTGGTGTGTAAGTCTTGAGGGGCCAAAGAGCCACTTCACTACTGGGGCTCTGCTATCACAGCTGTACACACATTTCGGATTTGTTAGGGCTTGCTAGCAGGCAAAATGTTAGGGTAAAATTTCAGATTACCGTAAAGCAACCAAAGAATCTGATAAAAAAAAATGTATTATCTAACCTAACCTAATGTAAAATAAGAAAATTATCATAGAAAAAATAGTTCTATCGATTGAGTGGAGTGAATTTCCAGAATTATGTTGTTGTTTACTGCAACATTACCATTTTTTTGTCTCAGTTATTAGACTTGTTGGATTCATCTCAGGTGATTTTCTAATGGCCTATAGAACCGATCTAGTGTAATACTGACAATCTGCTTTCCCAGTCCAAAACATCCTCTTGACCATTGCACAAATGTCAGATTCCATATAAATGGATTTCAGTATTTTTATTTCATATTGTTATATTTTCAACCCAAAACCACACATGAAACAGTACTAATTTAACGCGAATATCAAATGGATAACATAATTTTGTAAAAATGGGGAAACTGTCTGTGCAAGCTCTTACATGCCCTGGCTATGCAATCTCTTAATAATTTTATTAGTATCTAAAGGAGACCAGTTTGATGCAACACATTTCATAAACCTTCCCAGTGTAAACTATCATAGGTCTGCTCAGTCTATAAATGCACAATGCACTTTCTTACTAAATTCTCACATTTTGTATGAAAATCAGACGACTCATGCAGGGTAAAATGTTCATTACTCCAAATTTATGTACAGTACGTACATGTAATTGATAACTATTGTTTCTTTTATTTGCAGAACAAATATGAAGGTCTTCAAGGTGTTCAACAAATATTTTCCAACAAAACAAGACGTGGAGGGACCAGAGAAGATCATGGCTATATCTTCCCCAACAGTGGTCAAACATGATGTCCACGTCATCCTCAATAAAAATACTGGGTCACTGGAAGGCATTCCTGAAGCATGGAAAAAATATATTGAAAACACTATTGGGTAAGTTGAACTGTAAAAAGGAAGTTGCTTAATTTGTACAAATGAATGTCATAGGAAACTACATATCATCAAGGTGAAGGAATCCAAAATACACTGTATAGTACAGTACATACTTGGATTCTGAGCTGGAACTCCGAATGTTGGTAGGATGCGGGGAAGAGCGAGTGAGATTGTTTAGACATTGGGCTGTAGAAAGCTGGATGTCTGCTGTGTATAGAAAACCAGATGGAAAGGTAGTTTAGCGAGGCTGATCACTGGTAACAATGACAGGTACAAAATCTATTGGAAGGGTGGTGAATCTGGGACAGGTGGAGAAAGTACTAGAGGTGAAAAGGGTGAATCTGAGACTTATGGTTCTGAAGCTACTGGTAGTCAAGAATCTGGTGACATATCAGTGTATGACCCACAAGTTTGGTTAAGTGAGGAAGGGAAGGAAAATATTGGGGGTTAGTTGATGCAAGTGCTGGAGCATGGTGAAAGGGAAATGGTAGTAGGTACTGTACTGGGTGGTGACCTAAATGGCAATGTTGGGAGTTGTGAAGGTGTGCATGGTGGAAGAGGCTATGGTATAAAGAATATGGAAGAAGTAAGAACACTTGAGTTTAGGAATACTGTACACTGAAAATTTTTGTGTACAACACAATGTTGAAGAAGAGAACGAGCAGGTTGATTATGTAAGAATCAAGTGGTAAAAAAGCCCAGATTAACTCCATACTTTTCAGGTAATCAGATACAAAGCTTGTTAGGGATGATTGAAAGAGAATGGGCAACAAAATCAGTTAACAAATGAAGAATGGGCTGGCTGCTGGTAGCTCTGGAATAGTTTCAGAGAAGGTGAAAGCATCAGATGGTAGTGGCATGTCACTGGTGACTGAATTGATTGATGCAATCATAATAGAATGTAGAGTATTGGTCCCGCTGACTGATTGAAGACTGTGATAATATAAATACCTGTACTTTTAAGGGTAAAGGTGATAAACTTGAATGCAAGAACTACAGCAGCGTGAAGTTGTTAGATCAGGGTGCATTATGTTCTACTGATTAACTTACAGATAAAGACATATTTAATCCTCATCCAATATGTTTGTTTTATATCCATTAGGAAAGATGAAATGCAAGAAAATCCTGAAGCTGCCCTCTCTGCTGTGATGTTTTGGAATCGCTCGATGCTAAATCAGAAGGGTGAAGTGGGATACATGCCAACAACTCCACCTGTGCAAGAGGTCTCAGAAGGTGATAAACTTGGAACTAACAGCTGTATGTTGTTTATTTGTGGTTTGGTTGCACAAGATACACAGTACAGCTATTGTTTTTATGTTATGAGGAGAAAAATATGAGCTGGTAATGCTGCATTCAAAGTTATATGATTGATTTGAAAATGTTGTACAGTATTCCATCTTTAATTTTAATGTGTTGCTACTCTTTCTAATAAAGATTTTCAAAGTATCGGTAATGAATTTCCTGTTCTCATGATTTCCATTATTTGTGATTGAGTAATGTTAACACTGCTTGCACAATATTTTTTATCTTTGGTTTTGGTTTTTAATATGCTTTCATATCATAGAATCCCACTGTAGGAGAAGATAAAACAAACAAAAACAAGAGCACTGTATACTTCAGCTGTAACTTGCAGACTGTAGGTTTTGGTCAACATATACAGTAGTGTATACTGTACTCTTATTTTATGTTTTTTCTTTACCATGGGATTTTAGTGTTACGATTTATGTGGTGTTCGATAATTTCTTCAGTTACTTTAATAAATATGTATATTTTTTTCAGGTGATGAGCTGGAAGATGGAGATCAGATGAAGATACATAAGGAGAAAGTAAGTAACAAGAAATAAGTTTACTATAATGTATTTCACACATACAGTAAAACTATATTCTATTTGGTAAATGATCTTCACTTCACTGACTTAAGATACAAATGGTAGATCACATGGCATGGGTCACTTGTAGAACCACGACCAAGGGACATCTCTAATACAGTACTGGTAATTGTCCTAACACTGTTGATGCTAATTGTTGTAAGCCATTTTAATATTATAACATCCTCTCATGTTAATTTCTGTACACATACAGACACATTAACTTGTATTCTTTCCTTCAGCTGTTATAATTGTTTATTCTGTTGTCCCTTTGTTTTGCCATGTACACTTTTATATGTTCAGTGAAAATGTTTTATTGGTGAAACAAGTTGTCCCTTGCCTTGAGTACACCTTAGACTGCAGACCAGTCACGTCATCATTATAAATGCAATCTTTCATATCATAAAAATGTTTAATGCCTTGTCCATTGGTTTTAAACATTAAACATTTAGTGTCTTGGATATATGTTTCACTAAAAAGTTATTTATGTTTAAGAATTCCTGTATACAAATCATATCTCTTCCTTAGCTTGATACCAGTGCAAGCAGCACCCAAGAACCCCAGATTGCATGCTCCCTCCAAGCTCAAGGACTAGTGGAGCATCAAGCTGAAAGACCAGAACTTGGGGGAAGCATAAGCCCTGTGCAGGTCATTGTTATTCTTGAGAATCACATTCTCTTCTTCTCATCTTCTTTGTTATTTATATATGCATACCGGCTGGTAGGTGGGACAGAGGAAAAGTAAGGTGTCGGTGTGAGAATGATTGGCATGCTTTTGTCCGATTTTCACAATACAGTCATTTGTTTTTTGTTAGAGGATCTATGACAAACTCAGAGAGGCTAGGCTGGAAAATAAAGTGCATTTATGGGTGGAAATTACCCTTGTGTTAGTCAAAATTCTAAGTTACCCCGATACTCCTCGTGAATCGTATGCAATAATATCAGGAAGTGGCTCCAAAGACTTTTCACACCCCTAGGCCAACATAAACTCTGCTTTTGATCTAGAAATATGCCCTTTGGATCAAACATTTGTGTGACTTGTAAACCTTTGCAAACCAATTTGGTGTACAGGTATCCCTCTGAAGCATTAATTCACTTTAGCAATAATTTTTTTTGACACCCTTTATCTCTTAGTGTTAGGTCAAAATTCGGTTTAGCGATACCTAAACTCACTGGGAAGGGGGAAGAACTGATGAGTCTATGCTCCAGTTGTGCATCTTTACTGACACTACCCGGGTGCCTGAGAATATACAGTACTGTACTGTCAATTTTTTTCAAAAGCTGACTGGCATGAGTTGCACACACATGAACTGTGTCCTGAATGACTCGTATGTATATATTGACTGAAGAGTGTGATCTGTAACTTGCAATGATATCTGAAGATCAGTAAATTGCCTCAGAGTAACAGTGTACACTGTACAGGTATAGTACATTAACAGAATGCGTACTGTTGTTGCCACGCACAAATGCACACACACACTTTAAAGATCTTTTTCACACCGGGTTTATTGTATTTAAATTTAAAAAGCTTTCCTAGTGGCTTGATAGTGTATTATTCAATGTATGTGGAAGTCAACAACTCTTTCTAATGCCTCCATGTTTCAGTTACATGAAATTTGAATATTAGAATGATAGTAACTGCCTGTTCGCTTCCAGAACCTCAATGACAGGAACGTATGTTCAAATTTACCCTCCTAAATCTACCTTACAAATAATTATTTCTTTTTATTATGAAAAAATAATAACTAATTATGGTCACATTACTATCAGTAAATGAATAAATGCTTTATTACCACTCTAAGAGCTTCAGACACAGTAGGTACGGTTCACTGAACTTTCATTTTTGTAACCAAACTCACGGGTAGAAGACATGCAGAGTGATTGTAGTGGTAATACTGATGGTAATTTTGACATAGGGTGAGGTAGTAATGGTGGTGGGGACTGGTCAGAGGTGGTGCTAGAGCACATTTGGAATTACCATAGTACATATGGTCATTTTTGAGATTCTACAAAAAAATTTGTCTGATAGTAAGCCGCATCCCTACTTGTCCCTTGTTTAGCGATAATTTAACTTTACGTTAAGTTTTTCTGGAACGCATCCCCATCATTAAACTGGGGATACCTGTATATTATTTATGCACCGACAATGTGGTTTTACAATTAGTTTAAAGTAAATTACAGTAATTTACTTTCTTCCAGATGAACTAGGTCAGTTCCAGTCTGAAATATTCAGCCTTCAAACAATCCAGTGTTATGCTGCAAGTTAGGTGGGAGGGAGTTTTGGTGGTTAAATAAGAGTACTGTACTAGTTCCAAGGCACTCTCTCAATAAGGTATCATTAGGTACAATAGTATAAAATAATATGCAGTAGTCTATATTTTGTACTTCAGAATACAGCAGTTTGGGATATTTGCATAGATGTTAGCAGAAAATTATACATTCAGTATTGAATAATCAGTAATTTATTAAGTTTTGTTCCTCTTAGACTATACATACATACATACATACAGTACATGTGTAAAGGAAAAGACAATGTATAGGTGAAAAATAAAGCATACTGGGAATGAACTAATTTATACATTCACAGTAAATGTAATTACTTGTATTAAGAAAGTTAATCATGGCCTAGTCATATCACTGTAGTTATGGGAACGTCCAGGAACTTTTTTCACACTGAGTACCGGGTAGATAAAATCAAAAGTAGATACACAGAGACTCACCCCACATATACTTTCATTAATTTATTCATTCATCCTGATGTAATAGATGTGTTCTGCTTTTTAACTTTCCTTCCTCAACAAGGCCTCACATGTCTTATCTGTTCCCTCACACAAACTAGCATTATCCATCAACACAAGGAACAATAGCCTCTTAGATTATAATGCATAGATGGTGTGAAAAGAAATGTTCTTCATTACTTATTAATTTATTTTAACAGGTTCGAAAGAAGGTTAGTGGCAAACTAACTGATGAGGAGGTGATGGCAGAATTCCAACGGATTTGTTCTCCCTCTAACCCAGAGACAATATATGAACGGGATATGGAATTAGGTGCAGGGTATGTATATAATTGTGCTATTAAATTAAGTGAGTTACAGTCTTGGAATATAGATGCTGGAATTAGACAAAAAATTACAAAAGACCTAGCATATTTATTAGTGAAATTGAATCTTTTTATATATAACTTCTCCTCACATTCACACTTCTCTTTGTCTCTCTTGGCATAAATCTTCCATTTGCTGTCCTTCTTTCTTCTACAGTAGAACGTCGATATAACACAAGATACATTTCAAGAGAGGTCGCTTTAAACCGAATTCGCACTAAATCGAATGGTTGTTTCAATGGAATAATTAAGTTTGGTACTTGAGAGAAACACAAAATACTAAAAAGACTGAGAGTCTACCCAGATGCACCTCAGCCCATCTCCTAGAATAAACAAAACATTGTTTTTTGTAGTATTATGTTAAAACAAACTCATAATCAACACAGCTAAAATTAGGGGATGGGAAATGGTGATATGTTTGACAGTTGATGCCAAGTCTAGTGCTTATCTATTTGTCTGTCCTTAAGAGTGACTTTAAGTTTTCTCTTATAAAATGTCACTGAACTGACATGGGAGAATATAATAAACCTTGTTGGAATTCTTATAAGATAGTGATTAATTTTAATATAAACATGCTATTGCTCGCATTAGACATACAAATTTTAGTTCTAATTTAAGAATTTTATTACAAAGAGCAAAAATTTGTATCTCTTGTGCAAAATATATGACGTTTTATTCAAATTATTCGCTGTCTTGAAGGATTTCAGCAATACAAATTATATTCTCCTAACTTTAGTCTGTGACATTATATAAGTTAAAAACTTTAAGCCTAAAATACCAAACCCTGGCTGGGAAGATGGGGGTGGGGAGGGAAGTGACAGAGACATGTTTGACAGTTGGTGCAGAAGGTCTAATGAAGTATTTATTTGTTTATTTATGTCCTTTAGCTTGAGTTTATGTTTTTTGCTTATAAAATGTCACAGAAGCAGCAATAGCTCCTTGATCCATGGGTTGGATGATAGAGGTAGTGTTAGGTGGAATGTAAACTACCTTAACATCAGGGTGCAGGTCGTCCAGGTGTGGTGGGTGTCCCGGAGCATTATCCAAAATTAATAAAATCTTGAAGGCAACCCCTTGTTGCAGACAATACTCCTTGGCTCGTGGAATGAAACAACTCGGGAACCAATCCTTAAACAGTGCTAGGGTCATCCATGCTTTCTTATAACTGCGATAAAACACTGGCAGTGTGTGTATGCTTGCTGACATTTTTAAAAGCCCTTGGGTTCTCTGAATGATATATCATGAAGGGTTTTACCTTGAAACCAGCTACATTTCCCCCCCAACAGAAGTGTGATTCGGTCCTTGAATGCCTAATCCCGGCATGGTTTTTGCTTCTTTTTGGATGTATGTCTGTTCTGTCATGTGCTTTCAGAATAAGCCAGTTTCATGCACATTAAATATTTGCTCAGGCAAATTATTTCCCTCCACGATGACACGATCTAGCTCCTCCTTAAAAGCTTCGGCAGCACCCACATCAGCACTTGCTGCCTCTCCACTCACCTTTACACTATGCAAACTGTAGCGGTTCTTAAACCTTTGGAACCACCCATGACTTGCTGTGAAGTTTTGGTCACACTCATCTCCTGCCTGCTCTTTCAGGTTTTTGAAAAGGCTTCTTGCCTTTGCCTGTATGGTTAGAAGGCTTAAGGGTACACTCTTTTGCAGCTGATCTTCCATCCACATCACAAGTAATTTTTCCATCTCATGAAGAGGATCTTGTCTTTTTTTCGTTATTATTGTTCCCTTTATATGTGCTGATCCTTTCTCTACATCACGAATTCGTTCCTTGTCCTTCAAAATTTTTGATATCGTCAAGTGAGAGAAGCCAAGGTCGCATAAAATGGTTGCTACCGTTTTTCCATTTTCATATTGCATTATTATTTTCATTTTCATCACAAAAGTAATTGACTGTCTCCTTTTCTTATCAGCACTATGAGAACTCTCACTTTTATGCTTGCCAGCCATTTTAAAGGGAATTAGAAACTAAAATTTTGTCAGTACACAGCACGATCACTAACAACAACGACGGCCAAACACCAACTGAGCGGGCTACGGCCTGGATGCTGTACACCACGATGCGGCCCAGCCCACGTTGTCATATGGGACGGAAACATTTCGGTACTAGAAAATACATAATTTGAAAAATATTTTATACGACTGAGGCAGGTTGTAAGTGCGGGTTGTCGTAAGTCGAGTGTGTCGTAAGTCGAGGAGTACTGTACCTGTATATACTGTACTCATGTATACCAGAAAGCCTAGCTTGTGTCTAATCGGACCCATGATTTTCTGGTAAAAAGCCTGGGTTTTTTCACATCTTTTGTGTGATTTGACCTTAGTGTTAAAGAAATACAGCTCCTCCCCGACTTGCAACCTACTCGACTTACGACCACCCGCACTTACACCTGCCTCGGTCGCACCAAAACTTTGTCAAATTACATATTTTCGAGTCCCAACGTTGGTACACAGACAAAATTTTTGTTTGTAATTCACTTTAAAATGGCTAGCAAGCTTAAAAGTAGAGTTTTGTGGTGCCGAAAAGAAAAAGAGACTTTGACCATTTCAACTTACGACCTGGATTTGGGTCCCTAACCCCGTCGTAAGTCGGGGAGGAGCTGTTCGTATTTTTTAGGTAGACACCAGATTCTCTCCAATGCGGCACCCATCTTGACCTATATCACTACCACCACAAATGAAATTAAAATTGTCTGTAAATTTCCATTTGCATCAGGTGTTTGCAGATTTAAAGCAGCACATATAGTGAATGAGGTTCTGTTTGTCATGTAGTAACATAAAGAAAGACTCTAGGGGTGCGGTAGGCATGCCCAGGATAAAGGCACTTACCGGCAAGGTTAGTCTATTGCGAGCTTGTACCGGCTAGCTATCATTCACCATAAATGACCCATGAAAGTTTGTGAATTTTAACCCCTCAAAATTATTATGTATATATAGTTTGACCCCTTACTTTTTGCAAAAAAAAATTATCATAAAATCTTGAGTAATTTCCTCTCCCTGATTCATCACCAACCAGTTGATGTGTATGTCACTGGGTAGGCTAGCATATACTGGGCCACCCTATGTAGGTTACTTTCAATCGGTTTTTATCCATTGATATTCTTTGTTTTTATTTGTGTAATGCAGTAGTATTTAGTGTTTTTTTCTGCATTTGAGTTAGAGGTTGATATACACTTGTCAAGAATATTATGTTAATATTTGTGTTCTCCCCAAGGGCGTCTGGAACAGTGTTTGCGGCACGGGAGAAATCAACGGGTAAGAGAGTGGCAGTGAAGGATATGGACCTTAGTAAACAGCCCAAAAAGGAGCTTATTTTGACCGAGATCAATGTCATGAAAGAACTTCAACATGAAAATCTTGTCAACTTCCTGGATGTGTTTTTACTTAACAACCATTTGTGGGTAAGTAGATGAATACAGTACTATGTATCTAACCTTTCTGTAACTTATGAAAATATTACCTGGTGTTGTATCTTGTGGTACAGTAAACCCCCGATATAACAGACTAATTGGGCGGTCTGTTAAAACCCAAAGTCTTTTATATCCGGATCTGGAATAATAACGGACTGGGTCTGTTATATACCATCGCCACTAACACTCACCATCTCAACCAACACTCACCATCACCACTAACACTCACTATTATCACCAATACTCACCATCACCACCAATACTCACTATTACTACAGTAAACCCTCAATAACTCAACATTGAATATCTTGGAATGCCATAACTCTGGGAAATGCCGAGTCATATAAAATTATCTGGGAAAATCTCGGCATATTTGGCCATGTGGGTACCACTCACTGCGCTGCACTGCAAGCTTGGTCAGTCTGGTGTTTGTTATTGTTGTGGTCAGGTGTGTGCTGGTTCACTCCACCCAGTACATGGACGTGGGAAGGGAGGGTACTGTAGCACCCTAATATTTTGGGTGTAAAGTACTATACATTGCACCACAGAGTGTCTAGGGCACCAGAATTAATATTGAGCCCTCTCCAGCAAAATTTGGTTCCTGTGGTACAAACCCAGTAACACCCAACAACCTCCCCCATTTATGTCTGGCCAGCCACTGTACGCAGAACATCTCCACTATTATGGTAAATCCAGTGTCCTTGACTTTATTTAATTTATAGTGCAATTCATTTTATCTGAATTCCAAATCTGAATCTTCTAGGTATCCCAACTTTGTCCCCTTTGGTAAAAATTTTAATTTAGTCCAACAATGCGAAAGCAATATGAGTCATTTATTTGAGTGTTTGACACCTGTAGCGCTATAACCACTTTTTAAAAAAAAATTGCTGTGAGAAACAATAAAATTGATATAGCATATCATAAAATACCAAAGGACATATTTTATGTTCAAAAAATTTCTCCTTCCACACTCAGACCATCATCTAAGTGACGCCATAGCTCATCAGTCAGGCAGGCAACCAGCTGACTGAGACGTGTGTGTGTGTGTGTGTGCGTGCATGCATGATATTTATGTCATGCCAAACAGCCTCATTTCGATATACCTGTTCTGTAAAGTCGTTTAATAATTAGGGGATAATATTTTATATAAGTTGCTGAAGTCCTATATAGAATCGTTTTGAATAATGAGCACTGCAGTGTGGAGATAGTGTCACCTGTTTGCCTCACCCACATGTTCCCAGCCCACCAAAATTCAATCTTACACTTTCTACCTTGGTGACAACAGCTAGTGCTGCTCCATGGATTATTTTTAAGTCCTATAATAATAATTGTAATAATTATAATAATAATAATAATAATAATAATAATAATAATAATAATAATAATAAAAGCTATAACCTGGAAAATGTCCTGCACCCGAGAAATCCCGCCTTTCCATCAGTTTAAAGGTGAAAAATCAGGAAGTGTGGAGTTTGGAGACATGCTAGGGAAGAGACAGCACCTGGGAAGACAAAGGAGAGACATGCTGAGGAGGAGAGTGACCTTGACAGTGATGGCACAGAGGAAAGTGATGCGCCTTTGGACGTACAGTACTAGATTAGTTTAAGTCTGTGAGTCTCTTTGTTAGATTTATTTAAGTGATCCTTATTAAAGAATAATTACTGTACAGCATTCCCATGGTTCACGGCACAGCTTGTGGTGTGGCAATTGGGTGGCTGATTGTGAGTGACCGTCTGGCTTTAGTCACCTGGGTCTCCACACTACTCAGGATGCTCACCATTTAGTGATATATTTTATTTGTATTTTTTTTAGGAAATGTTGATTTATAGATGTCATTTATTTTTAACCTGTACAGAACTTTAGTATACAGTAGAACGTCGATGTAAAGCGACTCAATTTAAGATTATTGATTTAAAGCGGCACCTACAATTAAGGACAATGTTTTAATTTAAAGCGAATCTTTCCTATTTTGCTCGAGTCAATCTGGTGCATCAAATTTTAAAATTCGCGCCTAATGTTCCTCTGGACACGCTACACTGTCCTAAGAGCAAAGCTGTACTGTACATGTACTCAAAATAATGTACTAAATGATTACTAAAATTTTTGTCTAGTGCAAACTATAGCATGATTATATTCAAATTAATCACTATCTTATAAGAATTCCAGCAATGTAAATTATATTCTCCCTGGTCACTTCTGTGACATTTTATAAACAAAGAACAAAAACTCAATCTAAAGGACATAAACAAGTAAATACTTCACTAGACCTTCGGCCCCAACTGTCAAACGTGTCACTGTCACCTCCCCCTCCCCCCCCACCTCTCCCATCTTCCCAGCCAGGGTTGAGTGGTTATGGGCTTACAGTTTTTATCTTATATAATATCACAGTCTAAAGTTAGGAGAATATAATTTGCATTGCTAGAATCCTTGCAAGACAGCGAATAATTTGAAAATAAACGTCATATATTTTGCACAAGAGATATAAATTTTAGCCCTTTGTAATAAAATTGGTTAGAACTAAAATTTGTATGTCCAGTGCGAACTATAGCATGTTTATATTCAAACTAATCACTATCTTATAAGAATTCCAGCAATGTTAATTATATTCTCCCAGGTCAGTTTAGTGACATTTTATAAGAGAAAAACTTAGTCACTCTTAAGGACAGATAAATGAATAAGCACTAGACCTTGGCATCAACTCATCAACTGTCAAACATATCACCACACCTCCCTCCCCCATCTACCCATCAGCTGATCGCTTGTAAACAGACCATTTCACGTCCAATAATTTTAGCTGTGTTGATTTGAGTTTATTTTAACATAATACTACAAAAAACAATGTTTTGTTTATTCTAGGAGATGGGCTGAGGTGCATCTGGGTAGACTCTCAGTCTTTTTAGTATTTTGTGTTTCTCTCAAGTACCAAACTAAATTATTCCATTGAAACAACCATTCGATTTAGTGCGAATTCAGTTTAAGGCGACCTCTCTTGGAATGTATCTTGTGTTATGTCGGCGTTCCACTGTACTATTATAATACTGAGTTAGTAGTTTGCTCTGGGTTGTGAATAATGAGAGGCTCTACTGTATGAAGTCAAGCAAAAAAATTAGGTTAGGATGACTGAAAACTTCATTAATTGTAAACCTGCACAGTACAGTACGGTACTGTACAGGTGTACTTGAATGTGTTATGGTATACCAACTTAACATGCCACATGATACTTAAACTTGGTACAGTACTGTAGTTTTCTCTAGTTCGTGCTAATGAGTTGCTCCATTATATGAAAAGGTGACTGAAAATGTGCCCTGGGAATATAGTGTCTGAATAACGTCACACTTTTATGGAACTCATGACGTTTATCAGTGACTTGCTGTACTGTACAATATACCGGTATGGAAAATTTTCAGAAAATTAACCCATCCATAATACTGTATGAGATAGACCTGCAATTTATTTATAGTATACATTTCCATCTCTTATTTTCTGTTACCAGGTAGTGATGGAGCTGTTGGATGGTGGACCACTGACAGATATTGTAACAGAAACTGTAATGAAAGAACCACAAATTGCTGCTGTGTGTAATCATACCTTAGGTGGCATTCAATACCTCCATGAGAATGTAAGTTAATATGCAGCTCCGGTTATATATGCTTATATTTAGCACTGTATGGTATATCAAGCCCATATCAAGAATTTAAAAAAAAAAATTTGTTATATTGTCTATGGAAGTAAAAATACGTAATTATTGTTCAGATGTACACACTGAGAACTGATAGTCACTTAATTTTATAAACATAATTGATTATTAATGTTATATCATCTCAGATTGTTTAAAAGTTATCAGTATTTGTGAATGTTTTCATGCTTTTTGTAGGGAGTAATTCATCGAGATATCAAGTCAGACAATGTTCTCCTTGGTAAAGATGGTTCTATTAAACTAACGGACTTCGGCTTCTGTGCTAACATCAGTGGAGACGAAAAGCGTCAAACCATGGTTGGGACACCATACTGGATGGCTCCAGAGGTAAGCTAAAAACAAATATCTTCAGTAAATACACAAATTATACTTCATCAGACACAATCTGTCAATCAAAATACCCCACCTCCCGCTCCCCCCCCATCTTCCCACGCTCGCTGGCTCTCCTCCCTCCTTGAGAAATGTTTGGGTGAAAACACTAGGCTTTTAGGTTTAGTAATAAATAATACGTCAGACAATAGTTAGGATAATATAAATGACATTAATGGATTCCTTGTAAGACAGGGAATAATTTGAATATAAACGTCATATATTTTGCGCAAAAGATAAAATTTTTGCTCTCTCTAATAAAATTCTTAAATTAAATCTAAAATTTGTATGTCTAATGCAAATTTTAGCTTGTTTATATTCAAATTAATCACTATCTTATATGAATTACCAGCAATGTAAATTATATTCTGGCCTTACTTTGTATATACTTTTCTGTGAGCTGGAACCAATTACCCAATATACCATTGAAACAATAGTTTCGGTTAACGAACGACCTTCTGGAATGAATTGTGCTCGTTAACCGAGGGACCACTATATATATATATATATATATATATATATATATATATATATATATATATATATATATATATATATATATATATATATATATATATATATATATATATATATATATATATATATATATATATATATATATATATATATATATATATATATATATATATATATATATATATATATATATATATATATATATATATATATATATATATATATATATATTCAACCCAAACTTCTTCTTTTTATAGATTGTGAATCGTAAGCATTATGGAAAGAAGGTTGATATTTGGTCTTTGGGCATCATGGCCATTGAGATGATTGAAGGGGAGCCACCGTACCTCAAGGAGACACCACTTCGTGCTCTCTATCTCATTGCATCTAATGGCAAACCTGATATTCCTTCGTGGCAAAAATTATCCCCAGAGTTCCAGGTATGAAAATATATATTTTTTACAGTTGACAAGGAAAAAACAAACATATTTTTATATTTTGCAATGTTAAATTATTAATTGTAGGGGAACTAGGATTTTTTTTCCTCTCTCTCAAAACTTTTCCACAGTCTGTTCAAATGGAAAACATAAGAGTAGAAACATGATGGTCTTCAAGTTTTTGTGTTTCGTATGCTTTATTTTTAGTCGTTCTTTAGATTGCGAAGTTCCTGCTGGGCCGCCGCTGTCTTCATGCAGAAGGTATCAGCTTTGGTCCGAGACTGAGAGTTGTTCTGCCAGTCAGTAAAAGCAGCACGTTTATCATCGATGAATACATTGATTGCTGGGTCATTTTCATCAAACGAGTCCCAGTGTTTTCTTTCAACCTGGCCGAGGGTCTCTCTCTGCAGGTTTTTGTCATGACATTTGTCATGACAGTGTCGAGAATATCCTATTCGGCACTGGGATTTGCGTTGTTTGCTGTTGGGTTGTTTATCAGTCCATGTTCGAGCTGCTCTCTGAAAGCATGTGCTACCGCTGGATCCTCCAGACGCTTAGTGTTAAAACCTCTTCTGGAGGCTTGCTGCCTTCGCCGTTTTGGGGCGACGTGAAGTGAGAGCTTGGCTCTGAAAAGTCAATGATCAGTGTCACAGTGGTCTGAGCCACGCATGGCACGGGTGATGAGGACTTCTCGGCGATCTCTTGCTCTGACATTGATGTAGTCAATGAGATGCCAGTGTTTGGATCGTGGGTGTTGCCACGAACCCTTGAACTTGTCAGCCTGCCTAAACAAGGTATTGGTTATAGTGAGGTTGTGTGCAGCACACTTGCTGAGGAGGAGTAGGCCATTGGGATTACACTTGCCTAGTCCATTTCTCCCTATGGTTCCCTCCCAAATGTTAGCATCCCTGCCAACTCTGGCATTGAAGTCACCAAGGAGCACAACCTTGTCTTTTCTGGGGATAGAGGTTAGCACTCTGTCGAGGTCAGCGTAAAAGGCCTCCTTGATATCATCCTCTGCATCCAGTGTTGGGGCGTATGTACTGATGAAAAAGGCATTGTGTGAGTGATTCAGTGGGACTCGAAGCATTATGAGGCGCACATTGATCCCAATAGGCATTTCAGTTAGCCTGTGTAGGATGCGTTGGCAGATGGCAAAGCCAACTCCACAAATCAGTTTCTCTCCGCAGCAGGTTTACCCTTTCAGTAAAAGTATAGCCAGACTCGCATTCTGTGAGCTGACCCTTATCTGGAAGCCAGGACACTAATGGTTGCTATGTTGATGTTATACTTAGCCAGCTTTTTTGCCACAAGGGCAGTTCTTCTTTCAGGACGCTCATTTGTGCCAGTCTTCAGAAGGGTCCTGACATTCCATGCAGTGATCATAAGAGGTTTTCTAGTTTGTTTTTGTTTTGATCTGTGATTTTGATTGCGTTTTTGACCGCATAAGGATGACCTTATTGGGCGCGGTTGCCCAGTCAGGTTGGTTTGTTTAGGGCACCTTTTCTAGCCCCCTCCCCCTGTGGGGTTAGCAGAGTGGTTCCTCGAAAGGGCTGCTCAATTGCACAGACAGGACCGGATTGCACTGCTGCCTAGATCCCAGTGCATAAAAGACCATCTTATCTGTGCTGCCCATGTACAGACTTGTGACTAAGACTCCCAGCAGTCATCTCTGCCTGTCCCCGTCACCACTCGTCCGTTGCCATAGGACTTTGGGGGTATAGGAGTTTTGATGATGTTGACAGGTATGATCAGCTGGATGATGGCTGCACGTGAGTTAATTTATGTGGTGAGGCAGGAGCGCAAGCTGCAACCACACATCTTGGCTCTCCCTTTTCTTGATCCAGTGGTGCAAGTGTTGCAATGACTGGGGAGAGGGAGAGTTGCAATGGACTGCTGATAGCCCAGTTTGTTGGGTTTCGCCTTAGTAGACTGTCCCTCAGGCATTGCCTTCGTCCGCTGGTGTAGTCGTTGGGTTTCCACTGTGGTCACCTCTTCCGCCTATACTGCCGTTGGGGTCTTGTTGGAGCTCTGTAAGCATGTCTGCCTGCTGCAGGGCCCTGATATGGGGCATTGACCTGTGCCCTGGTGGGCTTATCCTGTAAAAAAAAAAAGGTGATGTTAGATGTATATAAGGAATTAGGCTATGATAAAGTGGTATTTTAAACATTGTTTTGTAAGTACGGTTTGCATACAGCATGTGTTCTGACTTACGAACGTCCTCAGGAACGGAACTCGTTTGTAACCCTGTACAGTATTCTGTTTTTGGACCAAACTAATTTTTCCTTTTAGTTGTTAATAATCTTGATCACAGTTATTTACATCACGGCTGAGGAGAGATACCGGTACAGGAAAATAACCCCCATATCCATCTGTTTTTCACTTTATTTGATTCTTCTAATTTCCTTAAATTCTTTCTATTTCCCACCAACAAGAGGCTCTTATATATTTTACAAAATCACTTATTAATTCTCAAATTTAGTTAATGTTTTTTCTATTGCTCCATATATATTACAGGATATAATTTCTTTAAATTCTTTCTGCTCTAGGGAGAAATTAATGTGTTAAATTGTGATGTTTACCGGTATTTTTAATGATTAATAAATTCAGTAATTGTTCACTTTACAAAAATAAAACCACCAATTTTTCTTAGGATTGCCTCTACCAATAATAATATTTTACAGGATTTTTTAAGCCGTTGTCTTGAAGTTGACATGGAAAAGCGTGCATCTGCTGAGGAGCTTCTTTCTCATCCGTTCCTCTCTAAGGCAGTCAGTACAACCACTCTAAAGCCTCACATTGAAGCGGCTCAAAAACTCCTTGACAAACGTATCAGCTCTGAGATGTAAACAAAGTTGTTGGTATATGTTAAGGATTATCAGCCTGGTTTACCTAGGCTTATGTTTAAGGAGAGATATAACATCATCAACCACCCCATTACATAAATATTACAAGCCTGGTTGAAGCATTATAGAGTTTTAGCTAATGCATATTTCATCAGTGTTCAGTATCCAGCCTTATTTTTGTTTTGTCTTTGAGATAAACAGTGACCAGTATTCTTACTGAGCAGTGTGTGGGGTTGTGGCTTCATAAACATTTCATGCTAAGTTCATGGTATTGAATGTACAGTATGTCTTTATATATCCATGGGGGACATTTTCTATTTGTAAAGCAGAAATTTACTTACAGATTTCTGTCCAAATTTGTGAATATTTTATGCATTTATGCTGTGTTATTTGAAATCTGTCTTATCTACAAAAAACATTTCAGAAATAAAAATAATTCAGCATATTTTTAAATTACGTACCATGTTGGATATGTTTAGCATTTCATTCGTCTGAAATATTTTTCATGTTGAGGATTCACGTGAAAATATTTAAATTTAATATGAAGACAATAGCAATATATACAGTACTCTAAATACACAAAGCTGTTCTGGGAAGTTTGACTTTGGCATGATGAAAAATAATAGACATTGGAAGTACCCATTGATCACAAAATTCTCTAAGTAATACCAGTAAAATATTCCAGTATTGGTTCCTAAACAAATCAGGAATTTGTTCATTCCTGAGCTGTTTGTAGATGTACTTGTCATACCCATTCAGGAAACAATTTATTGACAGATTGCTCTTCATGACAGGATTTACAAAACAATTGTGTTGAATTTTATGTAAACATTCTTGTGAGTTAGATTAGAGTATGAAGAGTACAGGGTAAACTTAGAGAGTGTATGGAGATTGGATTGAATTATGATTTATGGAGAGCCAATATTGGACTGTACAGTATTTAATTATTAGTGAGAAATAGCATATTGGTTGTAGCTACTTAAAATGTATTATGATTACTCACTTGATCTCTAAACTGATAGGTGAAATTCCTCAGACTGTATAAAAACTGATCATGAACATTTAAGGCAGATGTTTCTGTGCTGTCCTCCTTGATTTTTTATAAGTTTGTTGCTTTATTGGCTGAAAATTACTACCAAAGATATTGCTACACAAGTGTTGCCAGTTTAAGTGATAATACACAGAACATTATACAGTATTTAGTGGTACTTTAGACATGTTGCACTGTTCAGTTAAATGGATCAAGTGTTATAGGAAAGTGGTCTTGTTTAATATCAATGTGTTTCAGGTTTTTAACAGACAAATTTGAAGTTCAATTTAGGTAACTTCTACAGTAGATGTGTTACTGTAAATACTGTATAGTGTAGTTAATTAGAGCTGCTTTCTGTATATCATCAGACAAGTATCTCATTGTGATGTAGTTTTGCCTGAAATAACTGTTTTATAAGTTCACCAGTTGAAGTAGATAGCTGTTTAAGATCCTGGTAAATGCAACTACAGTACAGTACAATGACCTGTACGTTGTGATTCTAAAAGGTGCCATATTGTAACTGATTGTGATGCTAGTTACCATAAATATCCTCAGTTGTATGTACAGTTGCCTGCACCTATACCTGGTTTAGTGGTTGGCAAGTTTTGTAAGATGTGGCAACTCTGTGGAATGATTACCTAACAATTTTAGCCTGGCTACTATTGCAAGGTTCCATAGGACCATTCCTATGGTGTTAATACAGTAAACCCTTGCACTTCCAGGTAATTAGGGGGAGTGTCCGGTTGTGGCAAATGTCCGGATGAACTAGGGGATTAAGGTACGTTAACGATAATCATAATACTGTACGTGGGCTGTATTGACATGGGTAATAACATTAATAATACAGTATTAATGATAATAGTATGTAATAATGATATTAAATAATAATATAGTTATGATAATACAGTAATAACAACAACAACAATAAAAATAATTATAGACAGTATTGTTGTTATTACTGTATATCAATACAGTACATACTGTATTATTTTAACTTACTCCCTTTTATTTTTAATACAGCTTGCGGTCTCCAACAGTTGTCTTAAAGGTCGAAGAATCAGGACTATATTTCATTACAAATGACTGCAGGGAACCCTTAGCCTTTCAAATTTCAAATGCCACTTGCTTAGCAATGCCATATTCTCCACAGTATCTTGCTACAGACCAACCACTCTCTAACATCTGTAACAACTTCAGCTTCTGAGCTACAGTAAGCTTCATATGCTTCCTTTTGGGTGCCATCACTACACAACAGTCACAGGGCACAAGGAATCAGACAAAAACAGTCACAAGGCACAAAATACATGAGGAACAATAAAGGGCCTGATCGAAAGGTAGCATGATGGTATGTACACACCGAGACTACAAGTGAGACTGAGGATGGACGCCCACTGTGACTGGTGGCGGGAGATGCGGAGACTGGGTCCATTTTAGCAGCGGGGAAGTAAACACGGCATTCGAACTGAGAGAGAGACCGGATAGGAATTTGCCACATCCAAATGCAGATCTTAGAGGTCTGGAAGTATGAGGGTTTACTGTACAATGTGAACAAACACAGGCCAGCCACATCTCACAAAATGTGACAGCCACTGTACCAGGTATAAGTGCAGGTGACTGTATATCGTGCACTTCATTCTTTTATCTAACTTTAAATATAATTTTACAAAATCCTGTCTATGGAACTCATTCCTTTTCTTTTTTTGTTATTTAATATCCATATGTATATGTTCATCAGATTTCAGTTCACAAATAGTCACATACAGTGATGTGCATACAATAACATGTAAGCATTGTGATATTTTTATTTATTATAACATCTAGTGAGCATTTATATTAGTAGCATGTTTTTACAACTTCAAATACTTATTTTTACCAAGAATGCTTTATCCCTATCTACAGCGGGCAGGTAGAGTCATGGAAAAAAATCCTTTCAGTCCCCTGCCCCATCCATGAACCCCAAGACTCACGAACCTGTAAATGTGAGATATCACACAGTGCGCTATCTATGGACCCAACAATAGGTGATGTTTCGGATTCACCGGTTCAAGAGTCTCAGGGCTCATGGATGGGGCAGGGACTGATGGGAATTTTTTCTGTGACTGTACATGTAGAAGGTTTTCTGCACAATATCATATCTGCCCATTTCTGTAGATAACCATATTGAAAGATGAGACACCTCTCATATGTAATTGTATATATTTCTTCACTCAGTTCTTCTGTTATTATTTTGAATTAGAATCCATGAAAAATATGATTAAAGACAGACAGGAGACAGAAACTTTATTGCTTCATTCCTGATGATGATTACAAAAACTTGAACAGGATGCAAAAATTATCTTATGACAGTATACAGATAAATCATTGTGTAATATATATATATATATATATATATATATATATATATATATATATATATATATATATATATATATATATATATATATATATATATATATATATATATATATATATATATATATATATGTTTGTCTGTGCGCATGCATTTTATAATGGGGGCAAGTTTAAGTGTAATTTCTGTTTTGTGTTTTAAACCCTAAATCCCTTGAGTACCACATCAACAAATTTGCTTGTGTGAGTTGCTCAGCCAACCTACCAAGCCACACAGTTGCCTCTCATACACAGACTGCATGAGTTAATTGTAAATTTTTATCAACCCAGTCATTACAAGCTTATGTTTAAAGGAAATTTGAACCCTTAAATTTATTCATGGGAGTATTTTCAGGTCACAGGTTTCAATTAATAGCATGTATATAATTAAAGAGAAATAGCTCAATGTCATAAATTTAAATTTTGAAATTAATGCAGTATTTTATAATTAAGAATATAGTTTATTCTCAAATAGAACATAAGGGAACTTTGTTATTTTATTTTTAATGCTATCAAATACCACTGCTTCTCATGTTAGACATATAGTCATAAAAAGAGAATGTGCATAGCATAGTTTTGCAATTTATAAATTATTGTTAAAATGCTAAACAAAGTGTAGGTAACCCCCTAGCCACAGGGAATTAATAGTAGTCATTATATAGTGGCCTCTCCCTTTAATATTTCAAAAGGAAAGTACATTTTATGGCTTGAAGAGCCAGGTTGTGCCATTGTGACTCTGTCAGTTGGCCATTGAAGAAGCAGAATTAAGACCCAATTTTTATCAATTAGAATGCTGAAGTGCCTAGGGCTTTAGAATGTGGGAGAGTGGAAGTTTGAAGAAACATTGGGAATTTACTTTTTTAGGACACTTAAGTTTGATTGGGATTTCTTCAGTGTGAGGGAGTGCCTAGCACATACATAGGATTTTTTTTCCCTCCTTTACTTTCCCTAACCTCATCATATAGAAGCACTATTTAGAATTGTTTTTCTGTCCAAATTGTGAACATTTTTGGTCATTTTAATGTGGAGGATTTGAGTCACACTGCAGTGCTGACGTTCATTGTCGTCGACTTGGCCAAGATTCTGCTTAAACATAATGCATGTAATTCTTTCACTTGTAATGAATTATCACTTATAATATTTGCTCAGACGTTTCAGATTATATCTATATATTGTATATATTTTAATTATTATTATTATCCAGTCGACATGATATACAGCACATCATACAACTGTACAGACACTCCCTGGGTTATGGAAAAGTTCCATTCCTGGACCTTATCCATGAGCAGAATTTTCTGTAAACCGAAAATGGCCCTTCCATAAGGTACATATGTGCTGTAACTTGCACTGAATCACAGATGGCGTCTCGCAAGGGGATGCGCTCAGCCGTCTTACGTATAATCCTCCACAAATAGTGTGGTTACACCGTACTAGTTACCGTCCATAATAACAGAAACTCTTGCACAACCAAAAAAATTTTATAATGGGATTTATGGGAGGCATTTTGTATCCGCGAATTCCTGTAAATCGAGTGTTCTGTAACCCAAGGAATGTCTGTTTATGAAAGTACAGAAACTAGACTTATTTTTAAGTTGGCTTTAGTTTGTAATTTGAGTTTGGGTAATTGAGTACAGTAGTGTAAATTCATGGTTAAGATGCAATGTAATTTCCTTGCAGGAATACTGATAGTAACTGGTAAGTGTTATAGTCCCCAAATGGTGCTAATGATAGACCTGCTGTTTTCTTCACTGGCAGGAAGCTTTATTTGTAGAATATTAGTTAGTCTAAATTTTTATTATTTGATTGCATTAGATTGTGTATAGGAGCACAAGTATCCTCTTAGTGTGCATTACTATCTTTTGAAAATCTAGTTGTTGAACTGGATGTGCTCAACTGCAAGAATTATTGCTGCCCCATGTCTGTAGTATTTTGTACTTTATTTCCATTATACCTGTACAGTACTATGGTTGTTAAAGAACTTTTTGATCTCCAAGATAAATCAAAGGGAATTTCCTTGCATATTATATTTTTTGGATTGAAACAATATTTCATGTGTGATGTATTTTTGTATTTGTAAACCAGCATCTTGGTAAGAGATAGGGTAATGATGTGTTGTGAAGAAGTTCATAATTTTGTAGAAACATCCATCTTTATCATAATGAAACACAAACAGTGATCCTCTTCATATTGACAAATATTGATCTCTGAATATTATTAATTTGGCAAAAATTAGAGAATAATATTTGAGGTCTATTTATGGATGTACTGGTATCCCTTGTTTAATGATGGGGAAACATTCCTGGAAACCTAATACCTGTAGTAAGCAAAATTACCACTGAGCAAGGGACAACAAGGAATAATACCCATGGAGATGGCATGTTGCACATAGTTACAATACTGTAATGTGGTTTAGAAGTAAAGAAAATATATATACAGCTCCTCCCCGACTTACGACCTACTTGACTTATGACCACCCGCACTTACGACCTACCTCAGTCGTACCAAAATTTGGTCAAATTACGTATTTTTGAATCTCAAAGTCAGTACACAGACAAAATTTTCGTCTGTAATTCACTTTAAAATGGCTGGCAAGCTTAAAAGTGAGTGTTTTGTGGTGCTGAGAAGAAAAAGAGACACCCATTTTCGATTTTCTATGTATTATTTAAGCATTTCCGACTTACGACCTGGATTTGGGTCCCTAACCCCGTTGTAAGTCGGGGAGGAGCTGTTTACCTATAAAATAAGAAAAATTAAGATTGTTTGTGGCAAGTGAACAGATGCATAGGCTCTTGGAGGCAGTGGACTGTAACTGTTGCCAATTCACCACCCAGTGGCACTGTAAATCTGAGCTGTGAACTATCTTAAGGTTATTTTTCAACTCATAACTTCTGGTAAATATATGTAATTTTCATTATTTTATCTCTTTGTTACATGCACACAAAGAAAGAATTAATTATCATAAGGTAAAAAACATAAAGGGAATAAACATTTCTTAGCACACATAGCAGGGAAGGGGTAAGCGGCTTGGGGATGTCGGCTGTTCTGTGTGTAGTGAAATGATTGCCGAATGGCATGACAGTATTTTTTTTATTACATTTATTTGCTCCTCACGTTTACTGGTACAGTATACATGCGACACAGTTCAGCCAAGCAGGCACCCTGCTGACTAGAGATGCATGTGTAGCTGCTGCCTCACATGGGGGTGGGTGGGGGGGAAGAGTGCAGTTAGCCACAGTTACAGTTCACTGCCTCAATACATATGTTCACTTCCACGCATACACTCCCCTAATCTCCATTTTTCTTATTTTACAGTTTTATATTATATTTTCTTTATTTCTAAGCCACATTAGAGTATTGTACTGATGTGCACCTGTTGCACAGAATCCCCAGTTTTTCAGATTTCCCTTCCGAGTTTTTCCCAGTAAGTCGAACATTGCTAAACAAAATTTTGACTAATAATTAAAGAAAGGGGGTTAAAAGAATTTTTATCGCTAAACCGAAATATCGATAAGTGAATGAGCCTTAAACAAGGGATGCCTGTACATGTACTTTTAATTTATTTTGCTTTTGTTTTATTCATGGATTAGTATTAAATTTGCAGTAGAAGATATTCGTGCAATTGTATTTAGTTATTTCAGAAGCTGGTTACACTATAAAGAAAGGTTTAGTAACTTAAGTGTGATTTGCCTATAGCACTACAGGTAAAGACCCTTGGAACAAAGACCGAAACAGTTTTGAATATTTTCCTGTTTCCTGGGTCCTAGGTCATCCTTGTTACCCCAGGCTTACTGGTAGACTCCATCAAGTTTTGTTTTCACTCTCTCACACAGACTCAATTGAACGTCTGGTTTTGAGAGAGTCCTGATTTCTGAGATCTGGTTTAGAGGGTCTGTTATCTGTACAGTGAAGATTTTTTTTATTGTATTCTCATTACTTTTGTAAGTACTGTAGATAATTCTGTATACTACAGTATTACTGTACAATTAAGTTGATTTGACATACTCTAAAAGTAATCACAGAATCTACTTCCAGATACTCATAATTCCATGATAATAACCTCTTTTTGTAGTCTGTTATAGTATTTGGTCTTGATATGTCTAATATTGGTTATCTTATATTTTTACATGAAAACTTTGCTGTTACTGTTTTATTTGTTTGGTCATAATATACTTAATAAAACAAGTACTGTAATGAGATTTTTTCTTTTTATATTGAAAAACAATTTGTGCTGCCTACAGTAGCTATTCTTTCCTCGAGTAGTCTGTGCTGAGGATGTAACCATAGATCCATGGATGGCCATAGGTGAGTTTTTATCCTGTACCCAGTTATTGTTTTTTTTTATTATTATTGTATTGTCTGTTAATCCTTTAAACATGAGGGTCATATAATTGTCATCAAAGGGTTTATCCATCATTTTCAAGAGGTTAAACCATAATTCTCCAAGGATTTAGCCATTGTTCTTGATGGATTAAGCCATTATCCTCAAAGGGTTAAACCATCACCTTCAAAGTGTTTAAGAAAATTATTTTACCTTGTACAGTACTTGCATTGCAATTTTCACAGCATTTTGCAATCAGCATTCTTGTTTCTCTCATGTTTAGTTTTAAATCTATATTATGTTTCATCTCTACAGTATACTACACTAAGCAGATGTGGTTATTAGGAAGGACTAAAAAGGTCAAACAGAGAGTAGAGCAGTAATAAACTAGTGTTATATGGAAATTTGGTAAGGTCTGCCTATTTAGGACAACCTCACTTAATATGTAACTGATTAAGGCTTATACTGTATACTACAGTATTAGGCATTATTTCTACGGCAGGCATTGAATTTATATACTAATCCAAACTTTATCTATATAGGATGCCAATACCAGTGTTTGGTAACAATTTATGCTCCATAATCTTGGATCAGGTAATCTAAGAATCAGTGCAGTACCATGTACATGTCTTAAAATTCAAATTTAGTCAGTTTTCATCTTGGAGAAAATGGAGACTTTTAAATAATAAAAGATCCCATTTACTTTACTCATGAGAAATTCTCCTGCTAAAACTGATGATGGTTTTAACTTCTCTGAAATGTAAGGTGACAGAGAGGATGAGAAGCAGAGCATTCCCACCCTGCTGCAGTTGCTGATGACATCACACGGGTCTTGAACTCCTGTACCTGGTCATCTGTCAGCTCAGGCAACATCCTGGTATAAGTGATAAGATTATTCCTTAAAGTATTAATACAAAAATTTGTACAGTAGTTTGTCTAGTTTGGCAAACATCAATAGTAGTGGGTACCAAGGTTTGTTCAATGTTTTGTGAACTTGAAAAAATTTCATACTTTTTACAACCTCATGGGTGACAAAATGGTCAATAATTATATTTCCTTAAAAAAAAATCCAAGATACTTTTAATCTGAGAATACATACTGGGCAGTCTCCAGGATGAGCTTGGTGTGTTGACGAAGATGAGAGTGAAGGAGTGTGGGTGTAAGCAAGTGTGCCATAGCCACTGACAAATACACCAGATCCAGCCCTCCTACAACCTGTATCAAAATTCTAATTACTCTTCAACTAATCAACTTAAAATGGAACTAACAAGTCATTAGATATAGGAGTACTCAAAAGATGTTTCCAAGATAGAACAATTTAAGATAGAAAATGGTAGTAGGCAGCTATCAAACAGAGGTACCACTGCCTGGGAAGATATTGGAAGCATAATAATGTACTGTATTGTCTAATGGTAGACCCTGGTGCCATATGGCATCACAAAAATTTTGACCAAGTTCCAGATTGCTGATCTGACTCTGCCTTATTTACACACAATTGCAGGGTCTCAATTGTTTCTCAACACAACATACATATATCGTTTCTCACTATTGATTTTTTTATTGTTTGTATTTATTTATGGTCCTTTAATATTATTATTATTCCAGTAAGTCCTCGTTTAACGTTGCCCCCAATGACGCTTCATTATAACGTCGCTATTCTTTAGATTGCCATGATTCAGATAACATCCCGCCGATTCAGTATAACGTCATCACGGACTACTTTGTAAGGCACATCACCCTCTCTCATCTTGGAGTGCTACGCTCTCACCTGCTGAGCGTTTTGGCGTCCCCAAGCATCTCCAGTCTTTGTTAAGCTACTACAACGTTCGTGAGTGTTTAAATGTTTTTGCTCTTAATACTGTACTCTAACCATTTGAAATGGCTTCCAAGCACTCATCAAGTGCTACTGATGCTAGTGTTGTGAATAAGCAACATAAGACCATTAGCCTTGCTACAAAAATGGAGGTTTTAAACCGGGAGGAGGAGCCACCTGCCGGGTCTCAGTGACTCGCCACCCTCCTCCTCCGCTCCACTACCCACCACACACTTGTTCCACCACCTCCGTCCATCAGTGAGTACAATACTATCCTCTAACTACCATCCAAACAGTTTAACATCAGTTGTAGGCAAATTACTGGAAGTAATAATTTCAAACTCTATTCGAAATCACCTGGAGAAGCACAAGTTGATCAATGATTCCCAACATGGCTTCACAAGCAGGTATTCATGTCTAACTAATCTATTAACATTCTTTTCAGCTGTTTTTGAATCAGTGGACGAGGGGCACAATTATGGCGTGGTATATCTTGACTTTAGCAAAGCCTTCAACAGGGTCGCCCACGAAAGACTACCAATAAGAAAAGTGGAAGCTCATGGCATTGGAGGAGATGTTCTAAAATGGATTAGGGTGTGGTTACAGGATAGGAAACAGCGAGTGAGCATTAACGGCACTAAATCTGATTGGAGCAACGTCACTGGTGGAGTTCCCCAAGGCTCAGTACTTGGACCATTATTTATTATATACAAAAAAGACAGATATCGGCATAGACAGCAACATAAGTAAATTTGCTGATGACACTAAAATAGGGTGTGTAATTAAATCTAACGAGGACTCTGCAAAACTACAGGAAGATCTAAACAAATTTTTTGAATGGTCTGAAAAATGGCAGATGAAATTTAATGTGGACAAATGTAAAGTACTGTACTTAGTCCAGGAGATGTAAACAGAGAAACCAGATGAACATGGATGTTATAGAGAAATCCGACTGCGAGAAAGATTTTGGAGTAATGATAAGTAGGAACCTTAAGCCAAGTAAACAAAGTGTATTTGCTCGAAACAAGGCTAATAAAGTACTTTGGTTGATACAAAGGAGTGTTAGTTACGAGACTAGTGAGGTCATCCTAAAACTATATCTTGCACTTGTGAGACCTCACTTGGATTACACAGTTCAATTCTGGTCACCGTATTACAGAATGGATATAGAATCCTTAAAAAGAATTCAGAGGAGAATGACAAGTCTGATCCCGGGCATTAGGATCCTTGAGTTCAGATGTAATGGTCATGATAAGAGCTAACCTGAAAACCTTAAGGATTCATATTACGCTTAAACGTCCACAAAACCTTCCGAGTCCTCCAGTGGAAACGTCCCCCGTTTTCTCTGTTTCCCCCGCCTTTGTCTATGGGAGCAGACGCTGTATGCTGGGACCTGTTGCCATCCATTCCTTTGTAATCAATTTAATTCTGCTTTCGATAGCTGAGTCAGAGCATTGTTAGTGAAGATAATAGTAGAGAATGAAAATGAGTTCATAGTCTCAATTTCAACGTCAGAGGGTACCGTAAATTAATTCATTGGAATAGGAGTAGCTGGACTCCCTGGTCTGGTTTGAGTGAGGGCACGCGGGCATTTTAACCGTTAGTAAGTGCCCGTCCCTTCATCCATACAGGTATGCCATTCCACGCTGTGTTGTAATTTGCCCTTCTTTAAGTGATTTGACCCAATTGATAGTTGATTGTGCAAGTGTTACAGTAACGTAGTTGATATGCTCTGAGTAAAGTCATATTTACGTCTTTAACGTCCCCTGAAACGTGTTGTTGTTGTCACCAGTTAGTAAGTGCCCGTCCCTTCATCCATACAGGTCCCTAACGCAGCCTAGGCCGTGTCTGTAGGGTGGATGTTGTATCCACTATGTCTGGGGACATGTCCGAGGTCCAGTAGGATCAGTTACCTTCGTGAGACCCGGCCGTCAGACACTTCAGACCACCTATAGCCCCCATAGCTGGCTCGTCTGGCCCTAACGCTCGGTCCACGAGGTGACCCTGGACCACCAAGCCACACACCACTACCAGCCCCCATCATTGGTGGATGAATGTCTACCTCAGTAGGGCTATATTTGTGTGGTGGAATTAACCCACTGGGATCTCCAGAGTTCGTCAGATAGTACTCCATGGTGGCTGGACCCCATGGCTGTTGCTTGAGTATCACTCCTGACGACTGAGTGTTGTAGTGGCAGTTGCCTAGTATGTATGGTGCTAAGTGACTATCCTAGTTGTGCTATTGAGTATGTCCACCCAGTAGGGTTGGAAGTGTATTGAATATGTCCACCCAGTAATGGTGTGAGTATGTTGAGCCTGAGGGCCTAGTCCTAAATTTCGTCTGTTAGTACAAACCAATTCTTTCTTCTAATTTCATATTCATGTTTAAATAAACTTTGTATTTGTATAATTGTGTATATTATTTACCTACAGTATTTACCGTTATTTCTTCCCTATTGCTTGATACTATCATTACACCTACCCACGAGCCTCCTATCGTCACGCTACCAATGGTGATATATAACAGTAAAAGGAATTGTTGGTGGCAGTAGCAGCCCTCATAAATGGTGGCAGCTCAAGCCCTCATAAATGGTGGCAGCTATGGTGATGTAATGAACATAGTATCGAGTTGGGAGGAATGACTGTGATACTGTAGTTTTAACTGAGTTATAACCATTTCTCTGTACGGGTATTTAATAACCATTCCACTGTAACTAATGAGTATTTCAGATTGCTAATGATTTTGTCCCATATTTTTCCGAGGTACAGCTTTTTGTGGTGGTTTGCAGAGAGAGTGAAATAAGTTCAAAGAAATACCTTGGAGTTAGGTTAGAAAAAGTCTTGTTTAAAGTAAAAGGAAACCTGCAACAATAACTTGTAGAGTGTGAATAAGGTTCATTAATATTGGAAGAATTTTGATATGTAACAATCTGCCCAAATTTTTTTTTCTGTTGTTAACTCAGTATTACTTACAGACAGTGAATACATGTTTGGGCCGTGGCACTAGTTGTGAAATGTTCCATCGTGGGAGTGCCCAGTGTTTTAATTCTGAGTGCTAACAGAAGCATTGCACTATATGCAAAGGTTAAGTGGATGCTAATTCTGCATTTGTAATATTCTTTAGTTATGTGTTAGGTAGGATATATATTCCATTTACTTAATATCTCGGGGCATTTTACAGTTCCTACTATTAATATTCCTATGTATACGCTATAATTTTAAAGTTATTTTAACCAGGTGCTAACGGGTCATTATTTTGTGTAACTTATGTTATGTGAACTCTAATGCCAGTATACTTTCAGAATACAGTATTATATATGTGAGGACCTTATGGTGATACGGTATATGGAAAATGTTATACAAGTGTATGGACCCAGAATTGTGAGTACGGAAATTCGTGAAGTGTTCACGCAGTGTTGCACCATACTGAGTCTGTGAATGGCAAAGTGTCTAAGTGAATTTTTGATGCCATAATAGTATCTTTGGGGAGATTAATAATCTGAACAGTAGTTTGAATAGTTGATGCATGGAGTGTTAGTCGTATTGCAGAAAATCAGTACCAGTCCTTGGGTCTTGAGTGAGCACTGTGCGTGTATTGTATTTACAGTGGGGTATACCTGTAGTATTGATTTGTTGTAACACAATGGCAGATGCTAACGCAAATAAGGGGACCATGACGGCCAAAGCCGCTGTTGATTTAGCAACAAAAGTCCAAGCACTTCTGGCTAAACTCGCTAAAGCCATGGGTAAAGGAGGAGAAAACCAGTGGTTAGACTGGATCTTTAAGAAACAGTGGGCTTTGTAAGTGAACCTCCTTGGTTGTTGATGGGTAGTGAAGTGCACAATCTGTTGTAGGTAACTTTTGGTAATTGAAGAAGTGAAGAAAAAAAATGGAGGATGTTTTTTTGGGGGTTAAAAGTATTTTGCAGAGGAAGGGTCAATTTGCAGTAAAGACAGAGATTGGAAGATGTATTGGCAGTTGTGCAATCATCTGAAGGGTATCTGTTACTAGTATGAGTAAAGATACCAGTGGTGAATTCTCAAGTTCTGGTTGGTAAGTCCTACGTAGGCTGGGTGTTGTTGGTATATAGGTGTAGAGTTCGTGACTTTCAGGGAGTATTCGGGCATATAAATATGGTGCTATTACTTCTACATGGCAAATGCCATAAGTACAGACAGTTTTTGGTTTGGTGGTGTTCTCATGAGGACCGTTTCGTTAGCATTGAATTCTTGGGAATACCCGCTCGTTCGGAGTCCCTTGAAGGGTGCTGCCTCTCGCGAGTGCGACATCACTCTTAAGATTAAGGGCAACAAATCATTCCTTTGATCTGAATCCAGTCGATCAATCCATGAAAACTGAGTCTTTGATCTAATCATTTAATATTTATTATTATCTGAAGTATTATTTAGTTTGTTTTCAAATGAGTCTATGATTCATTTTGTAATTTAATCCTGACCACCGGTAGGGAATTATTTTTCTATTTTTATTGATATAATTTGTGCAATGTTTTGTGTGAGGATTTATACTTTATATTAATGATTTAATATGTATGTCACTACTTACGTGTTTTCTGAACGTTACCCCATAATAATGAATCTTGGGGAAGGGGGAAGCTTTGTAATGGTCATGATAAGAGCTAACCTGAAAACCTTAAGGAATCATATTACGCTCAAACGTCCACAAAACCCTTTGAGTCTCCCAGTGGAAACGTCCCCCGTTTTCTCTGTTTCCCCCGCCTTTGTCTATGGGAGCAGACGCTGTATGCTGGGACCTGTTGCCATCCATTCCTTTGTAATCAATTTAATTTTGCTTTCGATAGCCGAGTCAGAGCATTGTCAGTTGAGATAATAGTAGAGAATGAAAATGAGTTCATAGTCTCAATTTCAACGTCAGAGGGTACCGTAAATTAATTCATCGGAATAGGAGTAGCTGGACTCCCTGGTCTGGTTTGAGTGAGGGCACGCGGGCATTTTAACCGTTAGTAAGTGCCCGTCCCTTCATCCATACAGGTATGCCATTCCACGCTGTGTTGTAATTTGCCCTTCTTTAAGTGATTTGACCCAATTAATAGTTGATTGTGCAAGTGTTACAGTAACGTAGTTGATATGCTCTGAGTAAAGTCATATTTACGTCCTTAACGTCCCCTGAAACGTGATGTTGTTGTCACCGGTTAGTAAGTGCCCGTCCCTTCATCCATACAGGTCCCTAACGCAGCCTAGGCCGTGTCTGTAGGGTGGATGTTGTATCCACTATGTCTGGGGAGATGTCCGAGGTCCAGTAGGATCAGTTACCTTCGTGAGACCCAGCCGTCAGACACTTCAGACCACCTATAGCCCCCATAGCTGGCTCGTCTAGCCCTAACGCTCGGTCCACGAGGTGACCCCGGACCACCAAGCCACACACACCACTACCAGCCCCCATCATTGGTGGATGAGTGTCTAACTCAGTAGGGCCACTGGGATCTCCAGAGTTCGTCAGATAGTACTCCATGGTGGCTGGACCCCATGGCTGTTGCTTGAGTATCACTCCTGACGACTGAGTGTTGTAGTGGCAGTTGCTCTAATATGTATGGTGCTAAGTGACTATCCTAGTTGTGCTATTGAGTATGTCCACCCAGTAGGGTTGGAAGTGTATTGAATATGTCCACCCAGTAATGGTGTGAGTATGTTGAGCCTGAGGGCCTAGTAATAGATTTCGTCTGTTAGTACAAACCAATTTTTTCTTCTAATTTCATATTCATGTTTAAATAAACTTTGTATTTGTATAATTGTGTATATTATTTACCTACAGTATTTACCGTTATTTCTTCCCTATTGCTTGATACTATCATTACACCTACCCACGAGCCTCCTATCGTCACGCTACCAATGGTGATATATAAGAGTAAAAGGAATTGTTACTGGCACACAGGCCCTCATGAAGGGTGGCAGTAGCAGCCCTCATAAATGGTGACAGCTCAAGCCCTTATACAGACAGGTTAAAGCATCTTAATTTACACTCCCTCGAGAGATGTAGAGTGAGAGGCGATATGATAGTGGTGTATAAATGGAAGTCAGAGCTAAACAAAGGGGACATTACAAAGGTACTCAAACTATCCAACCAGGAACGAGCTCGTAACAATGGTTTTAAATTAGACAAATTTAGATTTAGGCGCAAAATAGGTAAACATAAGTTTGGAAATAGAGTAATGGATGAGTGAAACAATTTTCCAAACATCATTGTTAACTCGAATATGCTGGATAGCTTCAAACATAAGTTGGATGGATATATGAGCAAAAGGGGTTGTGTGTAAATGGGACTGCCCAGTATGGGTCAATAGGCCCGCTGCAGTTTCCTCCATTCTTATGTTCTTAATACAAAATTATTTAGTTTATTTATCTTTTTGGATATATAATATATACTGTACTATTTTCTATAAAAATGCCATTGAATTTCTGTATATGTAATGTATTTTATGGGGCAAAGGGAGGCTGGGGAATGTAACCCGTATTTTATCTATTTCTTTTGGGGAAAATTTATTCCGTTAACATTGTTTCCGTTAAGGTCGTGGTTTTCAGGGATGGAACCATGACGTTAAGTGAGGACTAACTGTATTATTATATCATCATCACTTTTATTATATTTTTTTATATTTTTGTGATTTTTTTATGAATTTTTATGAATAATGATTATTATTATTATTATTATTACACCTGGATGATTCGCAAATTTTTATTTCGCAGTCCTCTATTATTCGTGGATGACACCCTGGATGTACCCAAGAATGTTTGCGGGTACTTTTAAAGTTGCCGGCATTTTCGCAGCCGGGACAGGAAGCCATTCGTTCAAGAGACAGTAATTTCCTTTACCTGTACAAATTGTATATATGTGTGTGTGTGTGTGTATCTACAAACACACACATATACAGTATACAATACAGGTAAAAGAAATAATTGTCCTAAGGTCAAACACATACCTTACTAAAGAGAATATACGTTTCTTTGTACACAAGTAAAAATGTACCCCCCAGCAAATGTTATTTGTGGATTTGGTGATTCGCAGCCATTTTGAGAACCTAACCCCTGCGAATTTGAAGGGCATGCTGTATTATTATTACTGTATTATATTTTTGCCCCCAGGCCCTGATGTGGGTCATTGACCTGTGCCCTGGTGAGCTAATCCCATAAAAAAAATAAAAACTTACTGAGGCATTATTCATAGTGATATTTATATTAAGGCTTGAATGAATTTGCAAGATTGTAAAACGAGTGATATGCCTGGTCATAAGGTGGACCAAGTGTTGAACATCAGCTAACTTTGCAGTTGGCACTTATAAAACTTGACCTACATGCCATCTTGCCACTTCCAATGCTCTTCAAAATACTATCAAGCACTGAGGGTGTGATTGTGATAATGATAACTTAATGAGGAACTCAAAATCTCATTACAAGATCAAAAAATACTACTTTGCAGAATAAAAGAATGAAAGTAAAATGCTACATCACAGAGATATATGAAAAGATTAATGTGCTAATATGGATTGTTGATGCAGAATGCAATGACACTCACCTCAGGCAGTGAAGTGAGATCTTTGAGGCGAGAAGGAGAGAGGAGGATGACCTCCACCCCTTCAAGTGGTAGGTAATTATTGGATGTATTACCTTCTTCCTCTGCCTTGCTCTTGCTACCTGACTTAGGTAGCAAAATATTCCCTTTTCCAGTATTTCTTGAATCAGTTAGATTCATTGCTTCAATTTGAGGTTGATTGTCTATGCAGTTGGCTGTATTTTGTTTCTCTCCAGTAACATGGCTTGTTTCACCTTTGCATATGTAATTCATATTTGTTTTATTGTCTGAAATTCCATTTTTTATTTCATCCTTCATATCTACTCTGACATTCATTGTTGCCTCTATCTTTTTCTCTTCACTGCTTTTTTCCAATACTTCACCCATTGCTCTAGCTGTCTTCAGTAAATTTACACAATTGTCTTTTGAATCATTCTTCAACTCTATCTGCTGTTCTGCCTCCAATTCCTTGTGCTTCTCCAATTCCATATATATTTCCTCTCTTTTGTTTTTTCCTATTTGCTTCTTGACCTTCATTTCCATCTGTTTCACCATTTCTTCTTCCTCTTGCTCAACAATCATTTCTACGAGTTCCGGCTTTTTATCCACCATGGCTTTCATCTGCCTCTTCACTTTTTCATGAACATTGCTTTTCATTATTCCTTTTTGCAGTTGCTCATTTTTTAAGTCTCCCTGTGCATTCTCCACTTTTCCTTCCAGCTCTTTAGTTACCTTTTCATTTGTCTTCTCTTTTGGCAGCTTCCCCTTCATCTCCTGCACCAGCTGCTCCTCCTGCAGGTAGTGATTGGGCCACAGCTGGTGCAGAAGATTCTCCAGGTTCCACAGGGCCACCTCACTCCCACCCTTAAGGGAAATGAGGTTTTAGTTATGCTGACAAACAACTGTGAAGGACAAAAGTTAATCCCAATAAAGAATACTGTATTGTGATGCCACTTGAAATAGAAGCTGACATTATTACAAAATATGGGAAATAGCTATACAGTATATAGACCACATACAGTACACATTTACAATCTCCTTACATATTTGCTCCTGCCATTTTGCATCTGTGCAACTCTGATGTCAGTAGAGGCGAGGGCAAGAACAGGGAAGGGCCCAGTAAGGAGGTCGCCCCAGTATCCTACCCGCCGATGTTTTGTCATCCCCTCAGTTATCATCACCACTGTCAACGTATAACTACTGGCCATTCATGTCATACAGGAAATTGTTAGGTGACACAAAGCAGCATGTTAAATTATACTTTCATAATGCACACTGTTTATTTTATTTTATAGGGCTATATTACTTCATATTGGTTATTAATATAATTTTATGTAAATTAGTACTGTACAACCAAGACAGATGAGAGCTCACCTGAGGCAAGTGAGGTGTTGGCCAGGTGCTGTGTGATGTCTGCACCACTGTAGAAAGCATGACCTGTATCTCTCCACTTCAAGAACTCTTGACCCCACCCAGCACCCACATACCCAGCTGCTGTTCCTTCATTGTCACCAGCTGCTCCCCCTCCTTTGGATGTATTGATGTGAAGTTTTTGGATGCGGTGAACAAGACGCATGTGCCATGCCCAGTCTGCCTCTGCCTGCCTGTTGTCATACCTCGTCCTCAACAATTGCCGCAACCGCAAGTCCCTTAAAAGTTGCAGATAAGTTGTCAACAAATAGTATTTCTGTCTCATTTCTGGTTTTACAGCATATAAGTACGGTAATAACAGTAATACAGTATTATGCTTGTCAAACAGCATGCAGCAGAAATACATTTACAGTACAGTATTATAAATTATTTAAAAAACGAGCAAAGGATATTAATGACATGGGCAAAGGCAATGCATACCAGCAAAGTGCAGGGTCATACTGCTTTGGAGTAAGGGTGTACCAGCTCCTGCAGATGGCATCAATAGCATCCCTCTCACGATACTTAAGGTTCTCAGCAGACACCATTCCCAGGAGTGCTTGGTACTGGGTCGCGTCAGTTACTGCCCTAGGGAGGGGAAGGAGCAGATGACACTACGCAAGGAGACAAAAGACTAACAGTGGTCTGAATTGGGAAGGAAAGTAATACTGCATTGCCCTAAGGGAAGAGGGAGGACAAGCTTTGATCTAGTGAATAGAGAAATTACTGTACCCCAAGGGAAAGATAAGAGAGTAGTAGTTCTAGTCATGGAGGGGAAGTCGAGTGAAGAAGTAACACAACTCAGGAAAAAGGAAGGGGGGATAGCCTGTGTAAGGAAGGTGAGAATAAATTTATTAAGGGATAGATGACTGGGTGAGGTAAATAATATTTCTTTAGAAGCAGCATAAGATGGCACTTGACTCGTGCTAACACCATTTAACAGCATGAGACAAATTTACATTAAGATATGATTGTTACCAAAATCTGATAAAAAACTATCTTTCAGTTAGCTCATTAACAGACATTATGGAAGAGAATATGGAGATTTAAAAAAATTATAAACTTGGTATAAATATTATATAAGCATATTGCATAAAATCATATAACTACCGGTACATTTGATATTTATGATACAAACTACATACCTGGAGAGTTTTTGAGCAGTGAGTTCCAGGTAGTTTCTGGATGCTGGTCTAAGATTAAGGTTGGACCAGAGATCGAGTAGGAGACTGGCCCTTTCCCTCAACCCAAGACCCTGCTGCAAGCAGATCCCCACCAACAGCAATACTCGGGCATATAACTCCACATGTGCCTCCAATAAAAACACCTGCCAAGATATGCACATTATCTTGCTTATCTAAAGCACCTCATAATACCGACTTAGAGAAGAGCCTTAGATTGATGTGATATATTTACAACTGTACTTTATGTAGATTAGATTATGTAATGTACTACCCAAGGGCACCACAGCTACCCAGTACCTACCTTGAGCCGCTTCTTGTGTTGCCTCTTTCGGGCTAACATCAGCAGCAGGTGTCGAGGATCACCAGCACCTGCCACCAACATCTGTACTGTATCCTTTTCACCTCTCTCACCTGACCACCCAAAAACAGATACTGTACTGTTATCATATATCATTCATCACATCAGTTAATAGTATGTCAGGCCTTAAAGCATTATTTGATGTAGTCAACAAGTGAGGTCATGTCAAACTCAAAGGTTTTCTACCGTTACATGAAGTAAAAATTAAAGACACGTGTGGGCATATCAGATCTGAGACTTGAAGATGGTATTTCTAATTATGTAGACTCAGATCAGGACAATGCAGAGGCATTAAACAATTTCTTTTTATCAATGTTCACAGGAGAGGATACGAACAATCTCCCTGCATCTCACGAAAGACAATTTGACACAATGCTGACATACATTATGTTCTCTGAAGAGTGTATCTATTAACAACAAATTGTCAAAGCTAAAGGTTCATAAAAGCCCAGGCCCTGATAGAGTGCATCCCAAAGTGCTAAGAGAGTTGTGCAACGAGTTTACTGAGCCCCTTAAAAATCCTGTTCTGCAGATGCATTGATGAGCAAAAGATACCCAGCAACTGGGAAATGGCATATGTGAGACCTATAATCAAACAGGGAGATCATCACCCCACACATAATTATAGGTTAATGAACTTGACTAACGAAGAGAGTTAAGTACAGTACAGTACTAGAGAACATAATACAGTACAAGATGTCATGATGGAACATCTACTAAAAAAACAACCTAGTAAAGGAATGACAACATGGTTTTATGCTGTGACGCTCCTGCTTGACGCAGGATGTGGTGGTAATATCAACAATATATATCGACTTTGCCAAGGCTTTCGACAGCATATCCCATGAAAGGCTGAAAATTAAACTGGAATGGTGTGGAATTTGGGGGAGTGTCCTAGCATGGATTGGAAAATCTTCATGACTGCAAGCAGTGTGTGGTGACTAATGGCACAAAATCGTCATACATACCCATAACAAGCGGTGTACCACAGGGCAGTGTACCTGGGACAGATCCAGAAATACCAAAAGGAGGGTGTCCAAGAAGTTGTGGGTGGAGGAACATGGTGGGGGTTTGGAGGGGGGGCACTGCACGCCCCCCCAGAAGATTTTTTTTAAATCTGACCAATATCCTGGGAATTTTGAGGTCTTTAAAGCCATGCACACATAATATTAGAAAATATATTGAAGTCAATAGTAAATATTTTTTACTACTCGGTATATAAAAATGCCTGAGTACAATACTGCATTAAAGAAAAAGTATTGGAATTTTCTAGTGAAAAGGTGGGGTGTGGAAACCCAGGATCACCCCTGGGCCTGTTGTCATATGTTTGTTTCATAAACAACATGCCAGAAGCTATACACTCCTCCATACAAATGTTTGCAAACAATGCCATGTTATTCAGGAAAATTAAGAAGTAAACAAATTGTAAAAGGCAACAGAAAGATATCTGTCAGCTTCAACAGTGGTTAAAGGAATGGTTGTTAAGATTCAAGAGGATGCACCTAGATCACACAGCAAGAAACAGCATTAATGGAGTCAAAATGTGAAAAGGACCTGGGTGTGCATGCTGACAATGAACTGAGTTCTCGGACCATTGTGAGAAGAAAGTGAATCAAGCAACTAAGAATGGCGTTCAGATACCTAGCTGGTCCATCTCTCATGAAACTTTTCAAAAGTGAGGTGCTTCCCCATTTGGAGTACGGTACAGTCTCTCCTCGACTTACGACATATTCGACTTACGACAACTCGGACATAAGAACCGCCATGGTCGTATAAAATATTTTTCACTTTACGTATTTTCGAGTCCCGACGTTTGGTCGTAATGTGACGCCATACAACAGCTTGGGCTGGGCCGCCTCGTGGTGTACAGCATCCACTCCGTAGCCCGCTCAGTTGGTGTTTGGCCGTCGTTGTTGTTAGTGATCGCGCTGTGTACTGACAAAATTTTTGTTTGTAATTCCCTTTAAAATGGCTGGCAAGCGTAAAAGTGAGAGTTCTCGTGGTGCTGAGAAGAAAAAGAGACAGTCAATTACTTTTGAGATGAAAATGAAAATAATAATGCAATATGAAAATGGAAAAATGGTAGCAACCATTTCACGCGACCTTGGCTTCTCTCACTCAACGATATCAAAAATTTTGAAGGACAAGGAACGAATTCGTGAGGTAGTGAAAGGATCAGCACATATAAAGGGAACAATAATAATGAAAAAAAGACAAGATCCTCTTCATGAGATGGAGAAATTAAAGGTAATTGTGATGTGGATGGAAGATCAGCTGCAAGAGCTTGTACCCTTAGGTAGTTGTTTAAAAAAAGTGGGACAGATAAGAAATTAAAGTAAAGTAAAAAAGGAGAAATACTCCTATAAAATGGTGACAGCGAATCTCTCAACCTTACATCACAAAGGAGTGGAAATATAAAAAAGTATATTGAAAGACTCCATGGCAAAGTTCTGCATGTTACATGAGAAAAATTTTCATAAAATTAGGTACTAGGTGTATGGGCTTGTTCCTGAGCTAAAATCATCACAAAACGAGTCAGATAATGGACCATCTTACACTCAGCACATGCAGCAGCATTTGGCTTTGAAAGTTTTTGTTGCAGATGACAACATGTTTTCCAACTGCTCCTAGGCACTGTACATGAAATGTGGAAGTGAGGTCAGAACAAAATATATTGAGGAGCAGAAAATTGCCAATGTCCTTGAAGAATCTGTGAAGGCATCATTGGCATGTATTCAGTCACTGGGTGTGATGCTGTCAATACATTTGCTGGAAAAGAATGGGCTGTATCCCAATCACTGCTAGATATATTATAGAAACATTCATGTGCCGGATATATGCTTCAAAAACTCCTACAACTAAGGTAAATGAGTTGGGCTATTGCTTGTTTGCATCCAAGAAGGGACACATTGAGTCACCCCCATGTGCAGATGCTTTACACAAGCACATTTTCCGAGCAAATTATCAAACGGTAATCTGGAGGATGAGTCTGGAAAATAATCAGAAGTACCATCACCAAGAGGTCACTACTGGAAGCTAGAAGTTATTGGAGATCAAGAAGAGCTCATGATTGACTGGATGGATCTAGCCGATACTCCTGAACGTTTAATGGACCTCCTTGCATGTAACTATACTGAAACATTCAGCCTTCAGAAATACACTAATGTCATCATTGGGTTAAAGTGCTCACAGGTCTCCAAACTGTCCATTTGTGAGAAGCAACCAGCTGATGAAGACGATAAGACTCCCAGGGTAGATGACTCTGATGATGAGGACTTGGAGTGATTAGTTCTACTCACCCTCTACATAATCAAGAAGATCAACTGGAGGTGAGAACCCCCACCAGTTAACTACACCATGACCGTTCATCATCAAGCAGGTGAAAGAGTCTGTGTTATTGTGCCGAGTGTAAACAACTTTGGTTACTATAGCAACGAAAAATGGACCAATCAGAGCCTAGACTCACCCAGCTGACCAATCACGGCATGTTTACACTCAGAGCTCATGGCGGCGTCCCTATACAAGTTGATTTAAAATTTGTATGACAACTTTGTGGGTTTGAGTTAATTACGTCGTGAATATTGTGTCTTGGAAATGTCAGATAAGGTAGAAAAGATGTGAGTATTTATTTTTGTTTGTTGTTTTGGTGTAAGTATGAGGTTTAGGTGATGGGATGAGACGGCGAGGACTTGGGTTCAGTGATACTTTTGGCCTCTTGTCTTTCTAGTAAATCTGACTGAGAATATTTTTAGGATCATTGATGTTCACACTGAGGAGAATTTTGTAATTATTTGTTTGATAAAGATATTACAAACAGAAATAAGTAGGTTTTCAGTATTTCACTCGGGGTCAATGGCATTTCTGGTGCAAATTACTTATGAGATAATAAACATTTTATTATGTAAGAAAATTTACCTTTCACTTGTTGCCACTAAACGAATCAAGTGAATTTTATAGTTGCAATCAGTAGTTTTGACAAATCTGAGACGTTTCTTCAATGGTATTTCTGACAAAAATTGCGGTCATTTTTCGTTAACCACCCATCACCTTTTGCGATTTTTTTCTCCTACCATTAAATAGATCTCTTTGAGAAATGAAAGAATATACTTGAATTTAGCGGGACATTCCAAAAAGAAACGCGATATTCGCGATTGTTTTCAGTATTACACTGGCAGTGACTTCATCCCCCTGGCTAAGGAATACGGCGTCATTGAGGGGTCCGCCCCCCTGCTAAGTAGGACGTGGCCTGTTAGGTTAGGTCAGGTCAGGTCAGGTCAGGTTAGGACGTGGCCTGTTAGGTTAGGTCAGGTCAGGTCAGGTCAGGTTAGGACTTGGTGTGTTAGGTTAGGTCAGGTTAGGACATGGCGTGTTAGGTCAGGTAAGGTTAGGTTAGTACGTAGACCTAGTTTCGTTTTAACCTTTTTACCCATGAAAAATATATTTTTCGCTAGTTGTCTTGGCGTTTTAGATGATTCTGACATTTATTTTTGGTGAAAATCACTCGTTTTCAGCTTAGGGCATGTACTTTAATATGCAATATTGTAATTTCATTATAATAAATGAATAATAAGTGTTATGTGTTGTGGTTATTGGTGTACAATTCAACGATGATTTTATATATTGCTATCCTGTATTACATAACCACCAGATAGTGTTAGGGTGGTTAATCATCAGGTGATATATGCTAGGGGGGTCAATGTAAAGGAGTTCCAGAGCAACTTTTGATACAAACAGAATAATAAAGTATTACCAGTAGTACAGTACAATACATTAGAGTTGCTTATTGCCATTATCATTACATTATTACTTTAAAAATACCTGTAATACTCTTTTTTTTTCAGCCTTGTTTCTGGAGATGTTGATGGAAATTTTAACCAGTTGTTTAAACGTGTTTCAAATGTTATCCAGAAAAGTGGGCCATTCTCCATGTTACTCTGCGTAGGAAACTTTTTTGGCTCGGACAACTCTCAGTGGATGCAGTACAAGAATGGTGTTGTTAAAGGTAGCTATCATTTTGTTTTGTTTTTGTTGTGAAATGTTATGTGATTTTTATTTTAAACACTGAATCTGTACTATATACAGGGGTCCTAGTTATCCGCAGTTAATTGGGACTGGAAAAACGCCTTTGATAACAAATCCACTTAAAGCGGGAAATTAATCCCATAAGAAATAATTGAAATAATAGGTCAATTTGGGACCATGACATTGAACACTTAACACTCCCAAAAAAATTATGTGATATCTTTTAACAATTATTTACCTTAGAAATATTTGTTAAACATTTGATAACACATTATTCCAAGAAGTTATTAAACTTTATAAGTTATTTAATGTCCTTAAATGTTTATTGGGGTCAGTGTGTTGAGGCAATGTAGGTTGTGCCAGCTGGTGCATGCTCACTCCAATGGTTCATTGAGACAAAATACTTATTATTATGTTTTAAAAGTAAATAATAACATAATAAAATATTTTTTTTTACTTAGCTTCAAAAGTAGAGATGTTTGGCTAGATTGGATTGATGGATTTAAATATTAACATGAAGTTAATTAAGTACAGAAGGACCCTCTACTGTACTGTACTGTATAATGTGAGGGTTATATTCCTATACAACACCATGGTGTTGGAAATCATGTTATTGTAAACACTTAAGTAGCTATGTAGAAATACAGTACTGTACTGTACATTCCTTAAGACAGATGTGTTACCCTCCAACATATTAGTAGATGCAGTATACAGAGGATTGTATGCATTGCTATTAATAAATAAAGCTTATGAATATGATACTTGTAGTAATGCAGTTACCAGTTTAGGAACACATAATAGAAAGAAGTGAATTAAACTTAAATCTGCTTTAGAGACAGTATTACTGGCACTTGGGAGCCATTATGATACACACAGCTAGGACGGTGCATAGTCTGGGAACACAGTCCTTTATGACAAAGGGTAACTGATGGTGCTTTTTATCTCCTGACTGCACAGTGTACATCCACTTCCTGGGCATGTCTAAAATGGGTGGCAGAGTACAATACTACATGTGCATTTTGAAGAAACTGTGCTGACTAGACTGCTTTATATAGTAATACAGTACAGAAATACAGTCGTATTATTGGTAAATGTAGTTTACTTCTCAGAAGCACCAATTAATTAAAGAAAATCACTGGCACTCAACATACGAAAATGTTCAAGAAACTAATGAGCAAAACAAACATAGTGAGCACTAAAACTACAGCAGCAATACTTAATTAAAAAAGTGTTGTCATTAGAGCCTATATACAGTATATTCTTTGTTTACAATGCAATCAAAGGATCATATGCCCTCATAAAAAAGGTAAATGTCTCATGATTCAGGCCACAGTACAGTACAGTGTTCCTAACAAAATATACCAATGAATTTGTAAAAGAAAAATACAGACTATTTAACTTGTCATTAAACAAACTGTATTTTTTGTTTGGCTCTAAAGAAACTTTATGCCACATAGAGGTGGTCATCTAATATGTATGGGATTCCTTGTTTTCTTATTAATAGAACTTGTATTTGGCATTAGCTACCCCCTTGATTATGACCATCAAGAGCTTTCTCATATAAATGGATGAACCCACTCACCATACAGGCCTGTGCTTCACCAAAAGTCTGTTGTGGGCAAATGAATAATACATGGCAGTCCTTAAGATGATAATATTTTTCTGTATGTTATACTGTATAGTTACCTAACCTTGAAATTTAGAATTAAATAATATCCCCCCTAATTTCAGTTCCTCTGCCGACTTACATTTTGGGACCTAATCATTCGGGGGTCACCAATAATTATCCAGACATGAAGGGATGTGAACTTTGTGAAAATATTATATACCTGGGTAAGTGAAATGATATGTCTTTATTACCTTAATGTTACAGAATATTGTTGTTGTTAGTCCTGTATTATTATTATTAGTAGTAGAAGTAGTACTAGTATTATTATTATTTTTATTATTATTATTATTATTAGTAGTAGTAGTAGTAGTAGTAGTAGTATTAGTATTATTGCCCAATATGAATTCATCACTGCTTATCTGTGATTTTGATTCTTATTTCTTGAATACTGTAGTAATTCAGAATTGTAGCTTCGTACATGTTGCAATAACCCACTATGGTGACAAATGGATGAATTGATAGATACTTATTTCATAAAACTGTCAAGCAAATTCAGTGGTTCATGATGTACTGTGTATAGAAGGTGCAGATGTATAAACAATGGTAAACAGTACGAACAGTCATACCACGGATGGCCTAAGGAAGCTGTTAAACCTATTTATCTGATTCTTTTAGGTCCAAGTGGCATCTACCCGTGCAGCAGTGGGCTGAGAGTAATGTACCTCAGTGGCATGCAGGCAGACGTCAAGAAAAAGAATAATACCACCTTCATCATGGATAATATTCTTGCACTTGAAACTCAAGCTACTAATAAACCAGCTATAGACATACTCATCACTAGTCAGTGGCCACATGCTGTCTGTAACTTTGCTAAGAAGGCAGTGAGTTGATGTTTTTCTTCTATGCATAAATAATAAATTGCATTGTACTGAAGCTGGGATAATGAATTTTTCATATTTCAAACCAATTTGCAAATATTGTCATTATTATACAGTTGCCCCTCTACTTACGAATTAGTTATGTTCCTGAGACTTGTTCGTAAGTCCAACTTTACCCTTGTAGATACCAAACATACTGTAAAAAACGAAAAGATAATGGAAGTTTAGTACATCTATACCCTACAATACAGCCTTAAAACATGGCTCACTCTTCTCTTAGGTATTGCATGTTCCATCTGGAATTTTATTCAAAATAATCAGTCTCATCCACATTAAAAAAAAAAAAAATATATATATATATATATATATATATATATATATTAGTATAGTATATGAGATTTTTTGGCATTACATTTTTGGCAATCCATTTTTAGAATCTCTCTCAGTTGCATGGCAAGTTAAATAACTATCAGTTGTTTAATATGTTTATCATTTGATGAACTTTATCAGTTACATATTTGGTATAAGTATGAGTGAGTCTAGCATGATTACAGCATGTGGCAACAGAATAGTGTCGGCACATTAGACACATTGTTTTTTTTTAAACTGGAAGGGATGGAAGTTCTCGCTGTTCTCTGCACTGCTGCCTCACTCTAATCTTTTATCTTTTCTTTTTAACACAGTACAATATATCTTTCACAAAAATTTGTTTGTGTAAAGTAGTCATTATCATTTTCACCACATGTCAGCTTACTAGCCCATTTTATCAGAAGACAATCTATTTTATGTGTGCATATCTCAAACTTTCAATACTCTAGTACTTTTTTAGTGACACTTGTAATAATACTTTGTCATATTTTTATGCCATAAAGGAATTAGTAGGCTCTCGCCAATAACGTCTAATAGGTGCCTGAAAAACGCTGTTATTAGCAAAAACGTTATTTGTGTGACATTAAAATACATGTAAAAAGGGTTTATTGGTGCCACCGCCCCAAGAATTTCACCCATTTCTTCCCCTTTGAAGCCCTGCCTAACACTTTTTGTTAGCTGAAATAAATAGATTTGTTATTCAATCATCAGAATAAAGAATTTGAGTAATATAACACTTACCCGAAGCTTGGGGGAGTTTTTGAGGTGCTTAGTGTGATGATTGTTACGAGGCTCGGGCATGGAGGCTACTGCGTCGAACCTCCGCCCACATCCCCGGCCCCCATCTCCGTCCCCGTCCCCACGCTGGCCTCTCGCACCCGGTTCACCCACTTCCGCTAACACTTCATCAAACCCCGCAAAGTCAAAATCTTCAGGCATTTCCCCAATGTCATCAATGTCTTCATCAACTTAAACCTCTCTCTGTTGGTCTTCCTCGGCTGACCAGCGTTGTGAAAGAAAGCGAGTGATGAGTGACTGCTGCCGGGCATTCACTTGCTCGTTGTACTGCTTCTGGTATTTTCTTGAAATGATTCTACAACTCCAATCACTTGCCCTGTTTCACCGGATTCACTCTCAATGTCTTGGATCATCTCTTGAAGGCTGGTACAGACACCCAATAAGAGTGACAGCTTCTGTGTCGTCATTTTCCTCTGCTCGGTCTCCCCTGCATCACTCGCTGCATCACCACTCTCGCCACCTTCATCCTCCAGGAGATCCTCGACGTCATTTGTGTTACCCTCTTGCATCAGTTCTTCTAAATCTACCCGAGTCACCTCTTGAAATCCTGGGGCTGGGATACAGCGGACAGTTTCCAACACTTGGTTCATTAGCTCTGCTGGCTGCTGTCTCTTCGTCTCGGCAGACTTGAGTCGTGGCAGGAGTGCCGACCAGGAATGCCTAACGGTTGCTTTCGTAGTATTTCCCCAAGCTTTTACAAGGAAATTGACTGCCCGGCGAATGTTATAATTTTTCCAGAAGGCAGTAACAGTCACTGTGGAGGTTGAAGGTACGCCAGGTGGAGCAGAGGAGGCGGAGGGTGTGAGTGAGCCAGGCGGAGCAGCGGAAGCGGCGAGGGGAGGACCCTCCACCTCCTCCTCGCTATTGCTCACAGTTTCAGCAATTTCCTTCACTTCTTCTTGTTTATCAGTTTCCTTCCTCATCTTGTCATGGACATATTTGTAGTACAGCAACTTTACATTCGCTATGATTTCTTGGTCTAGTGGCTGTATTTTGGAGGTTGTATTTGGTAGTAGAAACACAACCTCAACATTAGGGTGACATCCTACTAGAAATCGTGCATAACTGGGGGCATTGTCTAGAAAGAGCACCACTTTGAAGGCTACATTCTTCTTCCGGCAGTATTCTTTGGCATCCTTAACAAAACAATCATCATACCACTTCTTTGATAACTCCATGGACATGAAGCCTTTATTTGTCTTTTCCCAGTAGACATTCAGTTTGGACATATCACATCCCTTGTAAGCTCTTGGTCTTTTATATTTGTAGATCACCAGAGGCTTCATGAGGCAGCCACCTGAAGCATTACAGGTTAGGAGGACACTAAAGCGATCCTTTGCCATTTTCACACCTTTTGCCTGTTTTTCTTTCTTAGAGATAAATGTTGCTTTAGGTCTCGTCACAGTTAAAAATCTGATCCAGGGTATAACCTCCCTCTTGAATGATTTGGTTGGCAATTTCAGGGAAGGTATCTGCAGCCACTAAGTCAGCAGACAAAGCCTCACCCTGATACTTTGCATACTTTGTGCCACTTCTAATCTTAAACTTATGCAGCCGCCCTACTGAGGCATTGAAAGGAGGGGGATACTTAATGCTTTTCTTTCGAGCTACAGCAGCGTACAATACCCTTGCTTGATCTCGTATCTGAGGGCTGCTAACACTTGCACTGTCTTTCATTCTACAAGCTAACCATTTCACAAGAAAATGCTCTGTTATCACTATCAACCTGTTTCTATCACTTTTATCATTCAAAGCTCGTCTCGCATTTCCATCACTACCGAAATATTTCTTAGCCAGCGCAATACTTTTCTTGTTCTCCTCTAAGTTCCTCTTAATATTTCGCACTGTAGACTCAGGACAGTTCAATTTCCTCACAATATCAATGTTCCGTGCACCACTTTCAATGAGCTCAACAATCTGTTCTTTATCCTTGACCGAGTAGGCACGCTTCTTGAGACTTTGTCTCTTAGCTTTGGGGTCTTTTTTTCTCATTCACTTTAAAAGTTCCCGGGCATTCAGGTGGCAAATCACTCCCTCCACCACCTCCCCTAGCCCCCACAGGTAAAAACGCGGAAGCCATTGTTGATCACCGACCCTAGCAACCACTGGTTATAGAGGCGAAAATCTCAAACATGGGCGCAGCGCTGTATTCCACGGAGCATGTGTGAGAGTGACTCGGGAGTGAGGCGGAGCGGTCAACATGGCGGCAAACGAACACTATCGTTGATGCACTCGGACGCTTCCCACGAAATCTCTGTTATTCAAGAGAATCCAGACGTTATTATTGAAAATGGGTATCTATTGTAACTTACCGTTAATGTCGAAAACGTTATTGTGGAAGTCGTTATTGGCGAGAGAGTACTGTAGATGCAAGTTAACTGTACTCAGTATACTGTATAGTGGATGTACTGTATATGTACCCATAATTCACATCAGAAATACTGTAGTACCGTACTGTGTAAGCAAAACTTATCCAATCATAAAATTATTATATTTATTTACTTTTATAAAGGAAAAATTTTTCATTTCTTGGTGAAGGTTACACAGATCATAATCATAAGTAAAGTCAATGCAATCCTAAACATATGAACTTGTAAGCTTTACTTACTGTAAATACTATACATGTCTGGGAAATGTCCTTAAAACAATGATAATGATATGTTTGATTTCTAGGAAGGCTGCAACCCAGAGATTTCAGGATCAACCATGATTTCAAGATTAGCATTCAAAGTGCGACCTCGCTATCATTTTTCTGGTTTGGAAGGTGTATACTATGAACGTTTACCATACAGGTACAGTAAGCTTGAATAGAATTATGAATTTTGAACTTATGCTTTTTGTGAGTGCGACAATCAAGAAATAATTTTGCAAGATGTTAATTAAGTAGGTGCAACCAACACTAAAATATTTAGTTCAGAGAAGGACACACACACACACACACACACACACACACACACACACACACACACATACACACATACATAAATACATACATACATACATACATACATACATACATACATACATACATACATGTCAATAAAACCACACAGGAAAAGGGAAACAATGGAGCACTTTAGCTTTCGTCTTTATTCAAGACATCTTCAGAGACCTCTGAAGGTGTCTTGAATAAAGACGAAAGCTAAGGCGCTCCATTGTTCCCTTTTCCTGTGTGGTTTTATCAAGATTTATCCTCTCCACATTTCCATTATGGATCTACATGACATACATATACACATATTGTACATACATACATACTGTACGTACGTACATACATACTGTAAGTACATACATACATACATACATACATGCATACCGTATGTGGCGGCGTATAAGTCGACCCCATAACTTTAGACACTAAAAATTTGGCTTCAAAGGTCGACTTATACACCGCCATATACAGTACATATATGCATACATACACACATGCTGTACATGCATACATATTTACATACTTACTGTACATACATACATACATACATACATACATACATACATACATACATACAAACAATAAATACTGAATACCAGACAGTAATACCCTGGTTAGCACTTGGGTTACAGAATTATATGTGAAGGTGTATAGGTATTAATAAACACAGATTATTACAGTAATGTGTCTACTAATTAATGAATATCAAATAAACAATACTGTATTGTATCATGAATGATAGTTGTTTCATGAATAGTGATGATTGTAGTAGAATGAGTGAGAGAGGCAACATGTCGGTGAGATGCAATGGATGGGAGGGAGGCATTGGATATTGTACGGGTTTGCTCTGGCTGAAGCTAATCCATCGTTGCATCACTGAAATTAGGATTTAGGTGGTGGTAATAGAGGTAGTTGTGATGCTGGAGGGGGTGGTGAGGGAAATTGTGGTGAAGAGGTGATGTGTCTTATCAGTTACTTTGGTAACACTGCACTTGCACTACTGTCAGGCACTATTGAACAGCTGATGCCTACCCACAAAATTGGGTGTTAATAGATGTGCAACGTTGTATCCCTTCAGCAATTCGTTACTTAAGATTTTAAAATGTGGAGTGAGAAAGCAGAAAGGCTGGGGTGATTAGAGAGGTGGAGTGGTAACACGCACCAGGTGTGTTGCCAAGCGCTCCTCAACATCTGATCTTCAACCCGCCACCACACAATTGTGCTTCAGTTAACCACACACTATTTTATGTCCTACAATAAGACCTACATTTAATATAAAATTTTAATGCACATTAATGAACTGTAGTCATGGGAATACTTATCAACAAAGCATTAAACCAGCAACACATCACATTCGGATTTGCAGGCCATAAAAAATATTCACAGTAATATAAACAATAAAAGAGTCATTGAGAATCTATCCTCAGTGTAAGTGCGGTCAAATTTGGACTGACTGTAAACAGAGAGCGGTCGGTGATGATTGACCGAGTGAATAAAAACAGAGAGCTGCTCTTGGCGTGTTGTGAGTGTTCGGACTTGGTACGTTTTACTACTTTTTTTTTCTTCCCTAGAGCTCCAAGATGCAAGCAAGAGTGCTATAACAAAACAGTGCTTCTACAGGGTAGGACTAACTTGGGTATTACTGTACAGTACTAGTAAAGTGTTGATAGTTTGATGGATTTTCTTAGAAGTAAGTGTGGAACAGAGAGAAAGTTGTGTATGTTTACTGTAAGATTTTTCTTCTTCCATTTTATGGAGAGATAGAGAATCATCTTCCATTGAGTCAGCTGTAAGGGGAAAGGATTTTATTCATATTTTCTCAGATTTTTGTCGCTGAATAGACAAAAATAAAACTTATTAATTTGATTAGGAGTAATCACATACTGATGCAAATTAGTGGGATGTGAATGATTACAACCTAATTTTTATCTCAGGAACCACAGAGTGTTGATTGAACCAGCACGTCATGTCTCTCGCTTCTTTGGATTGGCAAACGTAGGAAATTCTGAGAAACAGAAATGGTTGTATGCCTTTAACATCACTCCTATGGCTCACTGTGATACAGCAGAGCTCACAAAGCAGCCAACTGATATCTCTGAGTGTCCATACTCGGATGCTAATGTTGCTCACCAGACAAAAGAGGTGCAGTACATATATATTTTAAGTAATCAGCAATAGATTTAGGTTTTGAAAATAGATACAGTAAGTCCTCGCTTAACGTCGGGGTTATGTTCCTGAAAATGTGACATTAAGCGAAACAACGTTAAGCGGATCAATTTTCCCCATAAGAAATAGATAAAATACGGGAGTCATGTTCCTGAGCCTCCCTTTGCCCCATGGAAAAAGTCACATATACAGAAAATTATTGCCTTTTCTAAAGAGAATAGTATATAGAACTACAGTACTAAGGTGGTGGTAGAGCGAGAGAGTGGTGGGTAGTGGAGCGAAGGAGGAGGATGGCGGGAGTGGAGGAGGAGGGTGGGAGCGGAGAAGGGTGGTGAGTCACTGAGACTCTGCGGCTGCCTCCTCCTTATCCTCCTGCTCTGACTGGGGTTCCTCCGCCGCTGGTTGCTCCTCCTTGGCTGTCGGCTGTTGTGAAGAATCTCCTGCCAACCTGTGACGACAAAATTAATCCAGTGTTGACTGCTTGGTGCTGCTCATCTTATATATCTCGGTGTAGCAACCAAGACTGTCCTCAATGCTGAGTTGAACCTTTGAGCTATGTTCTCTGTTTGGGTCGTCATCTATAAGCATTTGCAATGCTTGCTGGAACATGTTCAACGATTCTGCCAACCTCTTTGAAGTTAGCGTTCGTTGCGGTTCTTCTTCGTCGTCGTCTTCTTCAACGAATTGTTGCAGATCTTCGTTGGTGAGCTCTTCTGTATGGGGTGCCAGGATGTCTTCAATATCCTCTGATTCCAGCTCATCAAAGCCTGCCTGTGTAGCCAAGCTGAGGATATCCCTATTCACAGCTGGGACTAAGTTCGTGAATCCCGTAAAACTGTTGACGCATTCGGGCCACAGTTTACGCCACACACCATTCAGGCAACTTTCTGAAACCTCTTGCCAATGTTGTCAATTGCATGAAGAATGTTGAAGCCGTGCCAATATTGTCGGATCGTTGGTTTATTTTCTCCGTCTGTAGCCTTGAGCAGCTAGGCCATGGTACGGCGTAAATAATATGCCTTGAATGCGGCGATGACGCCTTGGTCCATAGGCTGCATCAGTGCTGTTGTGTTGGGAGGCAGGAATACAACTTTTACACAGTCATGCAAGTCGTCGAGATTGGGAGGATGAGCTGGAGCATTGTCAAGGATCAGAAGAATTTTGAAGTTAAGGTTCTCCTTGGCATAGTATTCCTTCAGTGCACGGACGGCGTACACGTTTGACCACTGGCTAAATATGGCGCCGGTTATCCATGCCTTTTTGTTTGCCTTGTAAATGACAGGAAGATGATCCTTAAAGTAACCTTTCAGGGCCCGTGGGTTGGCACCGCGAGAAATGAGCATCGGCTTCAGCTTGAAGTCACCGGCAGCATTCACACCAAGCTGCAGCATTAAGCGGTCTTTTGCTGCTTTAAAACCTGACGCTCTTTTCTCCTGCTTGGAGATATAGGTCCTCTCAGGCATCCTTTTCCAAAAGAGACCAGTCTCCTCCACATTGAAGACTTGCTTCGGTGAGTAGCCTCCTTGCTGGATAATCCGTTTGAATTCTGGCGGGAATGTCTCGGCTGCAACAGTATCTGAACTGGCAGCTTCACCAGTCATCTTTATGTTATGGAAGTTATAACGGTGCTTAAATCATTGAAAACATCCTCGGCTGGCCGTAAAAGTCTCTTTCTTTGATCCTTCACCCTCTTCTGCCTTTAAGTCGTCAAACAGGGATCTGGCATTATGCTGGATAACCGTAAGGCTCACAGGGGCATTGCGTTGATTCTTGTCCTCCATCCACATTGCCAGCATCTTTTTCACCTTCTCTATCACAGTGCTTCTAGTACGAGTCATCTTAGTAGCTCTCAGAGAAGAACCACTTATAGCACTAACCTTAATTTTGTCAGCGTTGGTCTGGATAGTACGCACTGTTGTGGGGGTTAGACCAAGCACAGTGGCTATGTCCACAGCACGTTCCCCTTTTTCAAATCAGGTTAATACATCCATTTTCGTAGCAAGGGTAGTGGTCTTACGTTGCCTCTTCACTACACTAGCATCAGTAGCACTTGATGGGTGCTTGGAAGCCATTTTGAATGGTTAGAGTACAGTTTTAGAGCAAAAGCACTTAAGCACGCACGAATGATGTGAAGTCGTAACAGAGACTGGCTTGGCGTCGCTTGGGGACGCTGTGACGTTCCGCGAGTGAGGGCAGCGCGCCATGCCGAGAGAACATAGCGCGGCCAGACAAGAGTGGGTGATATGCCGTAGAAAGTAGTCCGTGACTCGCAAAACGATGTAGTATCGGATCTCCGGGACGTATAGCAAATTTTTGGTCCCTAAAGTTCAACGACCTAGTACCGAAACATCGTTAAGCGGGACAACGTTAAGCGAAGACTTACTGTACTGTAACTACAGTATATTAAAATGGAACCACATTGCCTCACTAATAAATTAGATAGTGTCACTTTCATACATAAGATTTCTTCACAATATTAAATAAAAATGAACAGCTAACTTTATGATATGTACAGGTATATCATAGAATAAAATTTATATGGTAACCTTGTTCTCCAGCAAATTTACAAATAGACATTTTCTACCCTGCCCAACATACCTCTCAGGGATGAGGATTATGAAGAGTTTTTACAGCAATGTTACAAGTTCATTATTATATATTTTAGTAGTGTATGACTTATGTTGCAGAATGTAGCACAAAGCTGTGGAGCTCAATTTTTCTATGACATGAATACTAAGCCTGGTGATGATAAAAGAGGAAAGAAGAGGAGAGGTGATGGAGATGAAAGTGGAGAAAGGAGACGGATGCCACCAAAACCTACTGGTAAGTGTGGTATTTGGTACTGATGCTTGGCTGCAGTCAGTACAGCTGCAGCATAATACTCCTAGGTGTACATGTAATGCAAGGTCCAGTGTGATGTACATGTAACCACATTTCTATTCCCATAGAGTAAAGCATTCTCTCCCCAATACATTTCATCATTTAAAAGGAAAAGGTTGTGTTTAACCCTCAGCCTGGTAGGGAGAGTGCTAGAGGATGTGGCTGCCCCAGCTGACTCCTGGGGGTGCGCAATTTGAATTTTTCCCATTCCCAAATTCTTATAAGCGGGGAAAGCTTTCGTATTTCAAAATAGTGGTGTCCAATTAGGAAATTTGTATTAGCAAATTTTCGTATCTCGAATGTTTGCATCTCGAGAGATACCTGTACAATAATTTGAATTTCAACAAAATACCCGGTAATACACGTATCTCAATGTAGAAAATTATAAGAAAAAGAAAGACAGTCTACTTTTATTGACATCTCTACACCTATTTTAAATTACCCTCCCTAAATTACTGTCAGCATATAATATTATTTTGATCTTAGCTTTTGTGAACTGAGAAAACTAAACCTAAAAATATAATCAACTCTATTAATGATTCAGACAAGTACTTGTGGTCTTCAGCTGTGTTTTGACCACAAAATGGCTTCTTATTTCTTATTGTGGCTGTAAGGGGGCACCACATATTCTTGATATCCTATTGTTTGAATTAAAATTCTCGCTCTCACTCATTCTCTTGTAGTCTATAACTTTCAAAACACAATTACTGAATTCTCAGAATAGATACTGTATCATAAATTAATCCATGCCAACAGATCTCCCTCTCTCTCTCTCTCTCAATTAATAGACATTAATTATGTGCAATAATTATAAAAATCTAGATAACTGGATTGTTATTGGATATCCAGCCCATCCCTAGTTAAAATCGCCCATGATAATCAGACATTCATGAAATTTCATGGTATCTTTTGCTTTATTTAAATCTTCAAAAAAATTCTAAAACTTCATTCTCCTTGTAATTTGTTGGTGCATAAACCTGTATTATTACCAAGTAAATGGGTTTAGCATTAAACTTGACTAACAAAACTATCTGACACTGCCCAATATCCATTTACACTGCAGCAAACCCTAGATAACTTGGCATTCAATATCTCAGAATTTCATGTAACTCGGCACGGATTATGGTCTTAGAATTTATTATAAAATAACTTGGGAAATGCTTGATCAGTCTGGTGTTTGTTATTGTTGTGGTCAGGTGTGTGCTGGTTCACTCCACCCAGTACATGGACGTGGGAAGGGAGGGTACTGTAGCACCCTAATATTTTGGGTATAAAGTACTATACATTGCACCACAGAGTGTCTAGGGCACCAGAATTAATATTCATCACTCCCTGGTAAAATTTGGTTCCTGCGGTACTAACCCAGTAACGCCCAACCACCTCTCCCATTCTTGTCAGGCAAACCACTGTATGCAGAACGTCTCCTCCATGCCGGTAAATCCAATATCGGAGATTTTATTTAATTTACAATGCAGTTCATTTAATAATCTTCTAGGTATCCCAACTTTCTCTTCCTTGGTAAAAATTCTAATTTAGTCCAACAGTCGGAAAGCAGCTGAAGTTATTTATTCGCGTGTCTTACACTTGTAGCGCTGTAACCACATTTGAAAAACCAAATTGCTGTGATAAACAATAAATCAATACATAGCATATCATAAAATACAATAGCACATATTTTATGTAAAAAAATAGCTCCTTCCACACTCAGACCATCATCTAAATGATGCCACAGTTCAGCCAGGCATCACATGGGAGGGAGGGAGGTGGATGATACAGCCACACAGAACAGCTCACAGAGTGGCCTTCACACACGTTCACCTCACACACACACCAACTACTACAACTACTACTACTACTATTACTTTTTTTTTCCCTCCAACCTCCCCTTATAGCCATACCTTCGCCACCATTTTATTACCTTAAAGTTAAATATCCTAATACATAAGTAGCTATCCTAGCTGTGTTGAGTTAGTTGAGCCACAGATCTATGCGGCATTCAGTGACTGTTGCCTCACAGTCAATATCTGCAACTGTTGTCGGCTTTGGGGCGGATGCTCTCGTTCCCCTGAGGCAGAGCAAAGCCGACCTAAGGAGAGAGAAGGACAGTCGACATCTACTTTTCTGTCACTTGGAATCGAGTGTGACGATCATCCAGCTATGATACAACGATATGAGTTATTAAGGATGTTACCTTCGTTGGTGAGCTCTGAGGGAGGGGCAGCGTCTTTCCGATGTTGGGCTAACTCGAAAGTATCAACATCTTCTCATGTGGTGCTCCTCCAAGCGTTATGGTGAGGAGTGATCGTCTCCCAGGTGAGGGGAGTCGATTTGGCACTTTTCCAGGTTTTTCTTAAGACTATCCTTATATCTTTTCAGTTGCCTGCTGGCGTTACATTTACTATTCATTAAGTGACTATAAAGTAACTGCTTTGGCAGTCCATGTGGGTAACATGGCCAGTCCAACTTAGTTGTTCATGGATAGTGGTAGCCTCGATGCTCCTACATTTGGTGTCAGCGAGAATACTGGCACACACACACACACACACACACACACACACTATGCTCTTAATTTTTCTTATTTTATAGTTTTATATGACATTTTCTTTATTTCTAAGCTACATTAGAGTATTTTAATAATGTATTTACTCTTTTGCTCTGTAATAAAGAAAATGGTTTTACCACGGAGGACCTTAATATTCTTAGTGATATAAGTTACATGTTTATTTACATATTCAGACTTGAATTATACATAAGGAAAATAACAATTGTTTTTGTTAAAAGTTATTCTTTATTTTGTATAAGTGATCAAATTACAGTAGTATATGTAAGTGCCGCAATGTTTACTGTTTATGTAGCGTTTCCCCTCCATCGCGTGCGTCACCTACCATTCCCCTGTGTCACCTACCATTCCCCTGCATTACCTATCATGCCTGTGTTACCTACCATTCCTCTGCATTACCTATCATGCCTCTGTGTCACCTATCATTCCCCTGCATCACCTACCATTTCCTTGCATCACCTACCATTCCCCTGCATTGTCTGTCATGCCTCTGTGTCACCTACCATGCCTCTCACCTACTACAATGCTTCATTCTTCACCTGCAATGCTGGTAAGTGTTACTTTTTGACATTTAGTAATAACATGTACACATATATGGGTTGATAATTTTTTGTTGTTGAATTTTTGTAGGGTGGGGGTGCCTCAATAAGTCGGGATTTGGGATAACTCAGCAAGGCCAGAGCCCCATATGTGCTGAGTTATCGAGGGTTTACTGCTCAACTTCTGGTTTACATGAATACCAACACCTCTCTCATGATTTTCACCACCTGAATCTGTTCATTTCCCTACTAACATTTGCATACTTACCAGCCTCATATAATGTCCTCACATTCCATGTTCCTATTTTGATTTTGTGCTTATTCATTCTTCATCTTTCAGTAGTTATGTTTAATGTCCAAGGTTTTGTTTTGCTCAGACAGTACTTGCTAGCACTCGGTGGCACATTGCCTGCAAGCATGGAAGGCAATGCAATTGGACCTTTAGGTGATGATAATCCAACAGGAACACCGGAAAACCATTTATTGTGTCTGTCCATGGATGTTCAAGAGCAAGCAATGAAGTTAATGAGAATGGATGTCCCAAACCTTTCCTCATCAGGAGACTAATTAAAGGGTGTAGAAAAAGTTGGAAATGAAGTATGGGGTTGAAGAGATCGCTCGTACCTCACTCTGGTAAAAAACCAGCCTATGACCCATAAAGAAGTGAATTTGCAAGTTAAGCTCCTATCTACTTTCAACCTCCTCGTTTAAGGTTATGAGATGGGAATTTTATACCCATCCCAGTAATTTGAAAGTGGTTCATTGTAGCCCCTACATCACGACAAGGTAACACAAATTCTGCCACTAATATGGAGTTGTACCTTGTGGGAGAGTGGAACAGTATAAATATTTAAAAAAAATTATGTATTATACAGTACAGCCACTCCTCAACTTACGGCGGGGTTAGGGACCCAAATCCAGGTTGTAAGTCGAAAATGCGAAGATAATACATAGAAAATCTAAAATGGGTGTCTCTTTTTCTTCTCAGCACCACAAAACTCTCACTTTTAAGCTTGCCAGCCATTTTAAAGGGAATTACAAACGAAAATTTTGTCAGTACACAGCGCAATCACTAACGTCGGGACTTGAAAATACGTATTTGAAAAAAATTTGGTACGACTGGGGCAGTCGTATGTCCGGATGGTCGTAAGTTGAGGAGTAGCTGTAATTTCAAGTCGAGGATATAAGTAAATGCATGTCGATAATTCTCCTTTTAGTCTTAGCCCTTCCTTGTTGCTCTCCTTATTTGTCTTGCAGCAGTTTCCTGATTGTTTCTGCTTACTACATAGACAAAGGCAAGATTTTCAAGGAGAGAGATCAATTGTGGAATATCATATAGATTAGTGCTCCATTCTTCATTCATATTTCATCCTCTCCATATTGCAAAAGATTTCTTAATTTTGAGGCATTGGTATTGATATGAGTTATACTATACAAAATATTAATTGTTTCAGGTCCATGTTGGTTCTGTCTGGCCAGTCCTGAGGTAGAAAAACACTTAGTGGTGAGTGTAGGAAACCATGTGTACTTGGCATTGGCAAAAGGTGGGCTTGTTCCTGATCACCTACTCATTCTGCCCATCACCCACTTTCAAAGTACGCCAGACCTGGATGAAGACTGTAGAGAAGGTGAATAATTTTTCTGAACTGTCAGCTATCAAACAGGGAGGTACTACCACTTGGGAAGATATAGGAAGCATAATGTGTTGTCTATGGTAGACCCTGCTGGTTGAATTGCTTTAAATCGACGTTCTACTGTATTATTCTATCACAGAGCTTAGTACAGTATTAACATAAAATATAAAAATATTTACGGACACACATCACATTAATTTATAAGGGAAAAATGGTTTCGATGAACGAAAATTCACTTAAGGAAAGCATTGTAGTTGAACGTAACCCTTTCGTTCAACTGGGACTTGCTGTACTTTTTTCAGATTCTTGTCAATTGGTATTCTTTTACTAAAGAGTGAATTAATAAATTATACAAATTCTTATGTCACCACTTTGACCCTTGTTTGATCATTATTGTGATTTTGAATTTATTTTATTAACAGAAGTAGAAAAGTTCAAGAAAGCATTAACAAAAATGTTCAAGAAGAAGGGCAAGTCTGTAGTATTCTATGAAAGGAACTACCGGTCACAGCATCTACAAGTTCAGGTTATCCCGATACCTGCAGAAGCTGCCTCTCACGTCCAGGAGATATTCACAGTTTGTACATTATTTTATTTACTGTATCTGTGTAGGGTGAATCATTGTTACAGAAACACCAAAGAAGGGGCTGAAATACTGTGGAAGATAAGTGCTGGACATAAGTAGAAAGTAACAGGAATCTACATTGTACTTACTGTATGTATATAATTCTCTTTTATGAGCATCTGTGACTAAGGCTGTAAACTATTCTTATACCTTCATATTTTTTTTTATTAATTGTGTTTGTAGTTTGTTTAATAAAGTTATATTAATATCTACCTACAGGGTATCAGTTATTCAGTGATGATGATAGAACCCTCCAAGTGAGCTCAGGAGATGAGATATTTAGGGTTGGCAGTATAGTTCTTGGTGGTCAGAAAAAGAAATTGGTCCTTACATTTGAGAATAGCCCATATCCAGCCCAGGAAATGTAATTAAAAATTTAGATTTTTTCCCATGGTTTTTGTTCTTACAGAGTTGCTTGTGTTCACCGTCTTTACCAATTCAGTACCTACTAACTTAGAATTCATAGTCTTCGTTAATTTTATTGTAATTTTTTCATTTTTCCAAAGTATTGTTTCCAAAATGTATAATACTGTAGGGTCGAGATAGGGTCCAAGGATGTTCGCCATATACTAAATCGCAATATATAATTACATTTAATCAATGGGGAAAATACGGTTAGGTTCTGGCGGCCAATAAAATTTACTAAACTTGATTTAACGAGTTTATTTTCTTATTAACTTAATCACCAATGAACACTCGAACTCGGGAACACCAGACTTGGGAACACCAGATTTTGGAACACCAGACTCGGCAGCAGATGCCACACTGCCATTCTCACTTGACAATCCCACACCTACATAAATGAACAAATCAAAAATATTAGTTACAGTATGAAATCTTTTCCATTAAGGAGGAGTGCTACTAGTATGCTTAGGCATCTTGGTAGACAGCGGTGAAGCACGTGGTGACCTTAACTGGAGAGCGCAGCATCCGCACGTGGGAAGAGTTGAATCAGAAAGACTTTGCAGGCGAATGTGAATGCGTGAGTGAGCAGCCACGGTGGCGCCTCTGGTGAGCAAATAACGCATTTGTTTGCCATGGCAATAATTTTGAAATATTTCCTGCCCGGTTTCCCATGCGAAATGAATAGATTTATCACTATACAGTCTATTGGAAAATGTCAATAATTTTGGTAGTCACAATATAAAAAAATCGCTATACCTGTATATCTCGACTCTACTGTACAACATGAAAAGAGAATCATGTGTTAATATATCATACTAATAGCAGCAGACATTTAGCTATTTATAAAAGATGAACTAAACCAACTAACCTTAATCTGGTTTACCTAACCTAACCATCCTTGAGCCATTTTTAGTTAAGTTAGGTAGGTTGAAAGAGGTATATTTGGTATGTTTTGCCTCTTAAAAGAAAGTAAATTAAAATTCCTCAGGAAAAAACCATGATAAAAACAAATTGTAGTTCCGAGGTTGAGCATGGGTCATTCTCAAGGTAGGGAACAACTCTTCTTCTGGAGCATACAAAAAGTCTCTTGAATTGTTATTTAAGGTGTGTAATGAATGAAAAATATTACTGTTTTAGTATTTTCATGGAAATTTGACTTAAACAAATAATAAGTTATGATTGATATTATCAGGATGTTGCTGAAAGTAATGGTATTGAGGTGGACGAAATTCCAAAGTTATCCGATATTTCTCAAGTGGCTCCATCGGGGACACCATTCTTTTATGCTGAACTTCCCACTGGAGAAAAACTTTATCACAGGGTCAGAAAAAATTTCCCCCTTCAGTTTGGCAGGTAAGGTATTGCCATCAGTGCCACTTGGATTAATTATCTATGAGGAGCTCCCGACCATAATCTGCTAAGTGCCAAAATAAAAAATTTAGGAAAATGCTCCGATAGGAATGTGTGATGTACAATAGTCTTTTCAGAGGACTTTCACACACATGTTCTTGCACATGTTTCCAATTGGCTCTCTGACTTACCCAGGGGAAAGAGGAGAGGTTGGGGAATACAATGCAATACACATCACATTTCAGCGATGTATGGCTTTTAGCAGGTTATGGTTTGGAGCTCCTCATATGTACTGTACAATATTTTATTGTAGATAAGTGTATAACATTAGTAAAGTTAGCCACCCCGATAGCATTAGAGTGGTTAATCTTCAGGTGAATAGGTGGTCATAAAACTAATGATGATGATGTCTAGTCTCCGAGTGATCTTAAAATTGTTATGCTTGATTGATATTGGGGAATGGAAGGGGAAACTCAAGTAATGCCTCGGGGTGATGGTAAGTACAGTACTGTATGTATAAAAGGAAGAGGTAAAAAAAAATGCTTCATCAATAAAATTAACTTCTTCATTTAGCTTTGCATGTAGTGTGTAAGTTTTATTCGTGAATAGTTTCTGATTATTTCTCTGGAAGAAACTGTTGATACTGCTTACTGTACCTTAATAAAATACCATGTGGTATATATTTTTCTTTATCCTCCCTTAAACATAATGTATACACCAATTCCCCCATTAACGTCCTTGTTAGGTTCCTGAAAACCATTACTTTAAGTAAAACAACGTTAAATGAAGACAATTTTGCCATAGACACAATGATATAAATGAGGGTTATATTCCTTGGGTACACTTCTGGTCAAAATTTTCTCTCAACTTGCCACAAATGTTTCACTTTTAGCACTTTCATCTTCTTGTTTTAAAGTTTCAAGTAAACTTAGAGCTTTTGCCTCTGTGGAGAGCAACGAACATGGAGAGTCTCGTTTATGTTGATCCTCGATCCGCATGTTTAGCATTCTATCCATATTTTCCATAATGTCACTTCTGTTATGAGTTAACTTTGTAGCAGATAATGGAATAACACTTTTAGCACATGATTATATATTTTCTGCATTTCCACAAATTGTTTTTACCTACAGTTGCAGACTGCAAACCAACAGCTCTTGCTATGTCCACAGCTCACTGTCCTTCTTCAAATCTCTTTACCACATCTAATTTGACTTCTAATGTAACACTTTTCCTCTTCTTTCTATGACCACAACCAGTAGTGGTACATAATGCACATTTAGCGCTCATTGTTCTAAGGCTCAAATAAATTTTTAATTGGAATTAAAGTGAACGTTGGATGAGCATCAACCAACCACTGAACAATGACAAACAAATATGGCGCCCACACTGGTCGCTTACACAGCCAGCTGTTATCACAATCAGGCATTGAAACGACGTTAATGGGAGAATTGGTGTACAGGTGTTGACCATTATATTATGGATCTATATACGATCACTTAGTTTTTCGATGCTAAAAAATTAACAGCATTTACCACTATGAGATGGTTAAGATCAGTTATGTGATGGTTGCTCCCCAAATGCTTTTCCTGCATTGGCACTGATATGAAAAATTATGTGCAATATTCCAACGTATGATGATGCAGTCTCAGAATGGTGTAACACATGTGACTAATGCGGGATGCGTGGGAGGTTCTGCCCGCCCCCGGTGACTACCTGGCTCAGCAGCTGACCTGTCATGTCGCCCAGAGCATGGTTTGTGTGTAGAAGAAGCAATTCTTTGTAATTAAAATAATATACTCATATACTGTACCAGTAAATGTGAGGAATAAATAATAATAATAAATAAAAGAAAAGAAAAAAATATTGCATTGTCATTTGGCAATCGTGTTGTTGCGCACAGGACATGAGACAGAGAACAGCTGAGAACCCCCACACCGCTCTCCCCTCCCCTCTCCCCCCAACCCTTCCCCCTCCTCCACTCTGTGATCCCACGCACATAAGAAATGTTTATTCTCTTTACGCTTTTTACCTTATACTGTAGTTATTTTTGTATTTTTTTCACATTCTGTATGAAAGATATGTGTGTGTATGTAACAGTAAAAAAAAGAAAAGAAGGAAATTATACATGTCTACCTGATACCCTATTACGAACTCAAAAATAACCGCTCTGAGTGCTAACTCTGGCTCTTCACAGTGTCAGGAAACGGAATCTATTTTCCCCATAAGTTATTAAAATCGATATACGACCAATCACCTTACAATGACTTTTTGAAGTCCCTAACCCCATTGTATAACGGTCAACACCTGTACAGAACTGTCATATATCTTCACCAACCCATCATTTATTATGCATTTTACAAACTGATGTTATAAATACAGTATGTACTGTATACAATTATATACAGTATGCATGTGCATGTATGGTTGTACTCACATTAGCACATGTACAATACAGTACAGTACAGTATATGCTAAACTCAGGAGGGGAGGAATGTTAAGTATCTTAGGACAGTTCAGCTAATGTGATAATTTTGCATTTGTCAGGTTGAAAACTTTTTATATGATAAACATATAGACAACTTTATTGCATAAAATTTTATGTTTCAGGGAAGTGTTAGCAAGTCCCCCAATACTGAATGTACCAGAACGTGTTGACTGGCGTGAGTGCAAGAGTTCTAAAGAAGAAGAAACAAAACTACGCAACAAAATTCGTGAAACATTCCAGCCATATGACTTCACTTTAGAAGATGATGATTGATTAATTTTTTCTTTATTTTTATTTTATGGCGTCTGATGAACAACTCAACATTGTTCACTGCTCAGACTTAAAACACATGTAATAGTTATTTTGCATTGAATAAGTTTCAAAGTGTTAGGGAATAAAATGACTCAGGCTCTTGTCTGTATAAAGTGTCTTATTGTTAGCATGAGTAATTTTACAATACAGTTAACCCTCACTTTACGCGGTCCCGCATTCCGCGTTTCCACGTTTACGCGGTGCCTTGCCAGAACCTCACGTGCTCACATTACGCGGTACGTGAACCCCATTACGCGGAGAGTGTCCGGCGCGACGCTATTTTTAGATTCGCCCCACCCGCCACCTGCCTGCCTGCCTCTCCCTCCTCCTCCCTCCGCTTGGGCAAGCGGCGCGGTAAGGTTGCGCAGTGTGTGTCTTTGTTGCGTTATCACTGACGTCATATGACGTATCAGACCTGTGATTGGCCATGCATCCCTACCCCCCTCTGCTGCTAGCTCTAATTGGCTTAAAGTATTATGACGTGTCCACCCGGGGGAGGGAGGGGGGGAGGAAAGACGACGCTTGACCTAGCCGCGGCAGTTTCATCCCTCAAGGCCACTCCGTGTAAACGCCCATCCATTGTTCCGTAAAATGGCTTCCGCCGGACCACCACCCCCAGAGAGAAACCTTTCCTTACCTGGACCCAGCGGCACTAAACCAAAGAAGACACGACGTTCCTTAAGCTACGAGGTGAAGTATAGCATCATCCAAGAGTTGGAGAAAGGAACAAGGCAGGTTGATTTGGCGCGCCAGCATGGCGTGAACGAATCTACGATCCGGACTATAAAGAAGGATTCAGCCAAGATAAAGGAGCACATGAAGATCACAAAGTCTACAGGTGCTTCTATGATCAAGTATTTTCACAACCAGGTGCTTCTCAAGACAGAAAAATTACTTGTGAGGTACTTGGTGCGTCAGGCGCGACGGAACATGGCGGTCGACACGCGCTCTGTTAAGGACTACGCACGTGAACTGTACATGGCAGTGGCACGAAAGATGGGAACTTCAGAGCCCAAACCCTTTAATGCTTCCTCTGGGTGGTTACAGAGGTTTAAGATCCGGAACAAGATCACCAATATAAACATTGGTGGTGAAGAAGCGAGTGCTGATCGTGCTGCGGCTCGGGAATTTCCTCCGTTTTTACGTGAGATTATGGAGGAAGGACAGTACAGTGACGACCAGGTGTTTAACATGGACGAATCTGGTCTTTTCTGGAAAAAGCTACCTTCCAAGTCCTTCGTTGTGAAGAATGCCAGCAGGATTCGGGGCCGGAAAATGCAGAAGGAACGCATCACCGTCCTGTTTACCACCAATGCCTCCGGTACCTGTAAGCTCAAGTTATCGGTGATCCACACAGCACGCAAGCCGCACGCCTACAAAACAATGGACATGACCAAGCTAAACGTCCACTGGCTGACCGCACGTAAGGCGTGGATGTTCTCTACACTGTCCCTCTCCTGGTTTGATGACTGTTTTGTTCCCGATGTAAAAAAATTCTGTGAGCGACAGAATGTGCCATTTAATATTTTGTTGCTGCTGGACAACGCACCAGGACACTCGCCCCTACTGTTAGATCGTCACCCCAACGTAAAAGTGGTCTTCCTTCCTCCCAACACTACGTCTTTAATCCAGCCCATGGACCAGGAGTTGATTTGCAATGTGAAAGCTGCATTCTCAACAAAAAAATTCCAGCTCCTGAACGACTACACCAACACCAGGGAAGAGTTGCGTAACCTGAGTGACACCACCACCGATAGCAAGAGCGAAGAAGATGAGGATCAACAGTTAGAACAGCAAAAAATACTCTTCAAACAATTCTGGAGAGTATTTAACATCAAGAAAGCTGTGGACATCTTGGTGGAGTCATGGGATCAGCTGTCTATTGCTACAATTCGTCACGCATGGAGACATGTGTTGCATGGAATACCAGGTGAGAGGAGGAGTCAATCTGTGACTGGTGAGGTTCAGAATGTTGCAGTAGCAGTGGACCTTGCCAGAGAAGCTGCGCAGACTGTTACAGTTCCAGGCTTCTCCGAGACCACCAACGACGACATCCTGGAGGTGATCAGAGATCCTGAAGTGACTGCCGACGAGATGTTGGAAGAAGAACACGTCAGTGAAGAGGAGGAAGAAGGTGCGTCATTCTCCGAAGAACACAATTTAAGTCATAGTGATATTAAGGGTGCCATGGAGTGTGCAGAGAAGATGAAGTCCTTCCTTTCCCGCGACAATGACGATGACCGCTATGAAGTCTTCCATACCCGGCTGGTGCAGGCTATGGAGCCGTACATCAAGGTGTATCACGACAACATCAACGCCAGCCGTCAGCAAAGCATAACAGATTTCTTCGCCCGCAACCCACCACAGCCAGCCCAAGCCAGTGATAGTGGCAGTGAAGATGACTTTGAGGGATTTGTCAGGGAAGCCCTGACAACTGTAAGTGACAGTGATGGTGATTCACCTAGTAATGGTGATTCACCTGAGGGCCAGTAATCTGCCCTCTGCCTCGGAACCAGCCTCCATCCCCGTATGCCGACCCATCTCTTCTACTACCGTAAGTGTTACACCTAATTTTTAGTTTTCTAACCTAACCTTTATTTTTCCTATGTTAACCTTTATCTTTCCTAACCTAACCTCTTCTATATTACTTGTTTTTTCATACCATCATAAAGTTAAGATAAAATTTTTACTACAACATAGTTGTGTGTCGTCAAAAAGTGGAGTTTGGGGATCGGCCCGGACTCCATTTCAATTAATCCCATATGTTATGTTATTCACTTTACGCGGGACCCTCCGGGTTACATTAACCGCGTAAAGTGAGGGTTAACTGTATTTTAAAAATTATGCTTTTAATATTTCATCCAAAGTTATGCAATAAAGAATGTACAAAATTTATGTGTTTTACAATCTATATTTATTGAAAGAGCAAAAACATTTTCCTACTTGTACCGGTGACAAAAATCAATAAAATTTTATATACAGTAATAAAGGGGAATTTTTCTAACCTTATTACTGCTACAGACATAATTTATTAAGCACCCAATAATTCTTTGTTTTACTCTGTTCAAGATTTTTTTTTTATGCAACAATATGGCTAGACTGTTTCCATCACCACTTGCTTTTACGGGTCTAGTTGATAAATTAAAATAAACTCAATCGTAAACTGTATTCATTTTTTATGATACCGATATTTAGTAGGATTTTTCTTAGCAAAGTCTTGGATAATATAAACAGCGATTGTATTAGACTTCTGAAGGGTGACTGAAGTATTGAAAATGGCACAATAACCTTGAGAAAAATAATCTGGCTATTGTGACTGAACAAAAGGAAAATGTTAGAAACATTGGAGAAGGAAGACAAAAAATTAAATATAGTTGACTGGAGATAAAGGCAGTGTACAGTAATAGGATCACCTGAAGATTAGACACCCTAGCTTATTTCACCTTGAGATTAACCAACTTACAGTAATGTTACCTTGAGGAATAAAGTTAGTTTAGTATTAGGGTGGTTAATCTTAAGGTGAAATAAGCTAGGGTGTCTAATCTGAAGGTAATCCATGAAACGTTTTAGATATTATCTAATAGTGAAAGTGTTAATAAATTAAACAAAAATGATGAACCACAAAGTAGGAGAGGAAAAGAAAGTATTAGTTGATTACGAAGGATGAAAGAACGAGTCAAAAAATTTAAATTTTCCGGGGAAGCTCCTGAATCAAAATTCTTAGATGAATGTAGATGCAAGAAGGAGCAAATGAGTGGTGATGAAGTGCTTGGAAGCATTATATAGTAACTATACCAGATGATAAATACTGTACTGCACAGGAAAAGCGGTGGCGAAGTGAGAAAAGTTAGGCAGTGAATGACTCGATATTTACTCTGGTGGTAATGAAGTACGGTACTGTAATGTACCGAGAGGACAAGAAGTGGAGGATTGGTGAAAGGAGTGTAATTCAGGTGGAAGTTAAGAGGGAGAGGGTATGACCAACGATAATATGGAAAGAAAGTGAGAATGTATCCACTACAGCTCACTTGGATGGAACCCCCATATGAATGATCATCTGTTTTCCGGGAATTAACCTAACCTAATCTAGGTGGGGTGGCAAAAACTGCATAAAACAGACAATCGTCTAATTGGGGTGACACCTTTGTGAAGGACACACTGAGAGTGGGTTAGATATATATGAGGTGTGAATGACAACAGAAGGTGTGTGGATTTGCTCCTGAAGCTGGCCACTTTGCATTAAGCTAGAATTGTACTTGTGCACTCATCAGTGTGCTTGGCAGAGGTGAAATAACCTTTGCTTAAAATTATACATCAGCGCCTGTCCAGCCACCGGGCATTATAGCAAATAATAACCTACAGTATATGAATGAAAAAGGACTTATACTGTATAATCTATTGAAAATATATGATTATACTATTTTATTCCCATAAAAGATGTATTGTACACTATTTTTGTATGAATATCTGTAATTACCGATTTTTTTCGGTCAATTGCCAGATTTTTTCGTGATTAATATGTAATTAATATGAAGTATTGTCGAAATAAATATGCACAAAACCCTTATTATTTAATAGGGGATTATTAGAATTTCATCAATGAATAAACATAGATAAAAATGTCATTAAATATGGAAATACTGTAAACAAGGGTCGGGATCACTGCTAATTTAATACCTGTCACGGGGAGGTAATTTACGTGTCTATCATACTAACTCAAATATTGTAAATAGAATATAATTTAGAGATGAATTTGTGAATAAATATTGCAGTAGTAGTTTTATAATTACAACCCCTGTAGACTCTTGTTAGATCACAGCTCAAACTACAACTTGTTAATGTGTGGTGGATAGGTTATATAAATTGGTACTGTATTATCAAACACTGCTCGAGGAACGGCCGTAATGACCTTTGAAGGTGACGCCAGCAAATTACACCAACAGGACCCTCAAGAGAAGAAACAAGAGAGCTACGAACAACTAACTCTCCAGTAAGTAATGTCTTGACCGCCTGCCCGCTACACCCACTCCAAGATTATTTTGACATGGAGCATTTTACACATAACCGATATATCGTTAGCTGAAAATAGGAAAGCTATTATAAAAGCTATTATTGCATTTGTTTCCACCAACCGAATTTCTAGAGTTTTATCTTTGCAAACAATGGCTCAGACAATTCTAAAACACTTTTCTTCTTTGACGTTTCCTTCGTAAATGACCTAGAACCGAGATATTTAATATGCTGGGGGTTA